CTAAAAGCAGGAAAGAAAACTAATTATTACTTGCGAGAGACCCAAGGCATAACATACGAGACTAAATTAATAAAATTACCTTACGGTTTTGTTTGTGGGCGGCTTGATTGAGAGCGTGGGCAAGTGGTTCCGTCCGCAAAAGGGAGAAAAGAGAAAAAGGCAACTCAGTCTCGCCTCTCAGTCGCGATAGCCAATTCTGTGTATTCTCAAATTCGCGCTCTAAGTGAGTCATAAAATGGTATTCTCAACTGCTTCCTAACTGACATCGTGTATCTCAAATAAAGCGTTAAAAGAACGTGGTTCTGATCTTTGACGTGACCGGTGATATGAAACCACTGAGTTGTATGCATGGTTCTGGTTATGATCGTTCTGCAGCAAATTTTCCAAATCATACCCGCTCAAATAAAAGCTATTAAGGGTTAACATCCTATACAAAAAAAATGGTGCTTTCTTTGTTATGTGGAAACTTGCACATCTGGGAACATTCTGGTAAAGAGATGCACATGACCTCACCGCTTGAAATGGACAGCGAATCAAAAGCGTGGTACAGGGTCAAAACCTTTTGCTGACGAATTCTTGAGGTGCGCTCATTTAAACCAAATTGTTAATAGAACTTTCTTTTCATAGCGGTGTCAGTCGTTCGAATATATACAATCTTGACAAAGTAAAGTACAAAATACTCAATTAATAGGTTTTGAGCCCTTCTTCCCCGAGACTGTACGGCTTATTATATGAACGGAGTACAAGAATATTCTATTGTCTCGTGCAAATCATAGCCGAGTACTTTCTTATGATAGATCAACAGACGAGATAATGCCATATCATGTAGATATTCCATGATAGGGTTATTACTGGATGTCTGGCAGAGGGCACATTAAATAACATGCTCTCAGTCTTGAATGGAGTGCTGCCGGCATATTAGGTACAGCAGGCCACAAAGGCTACACCCAAAGGCCGGATCAGTCCAGAGTCGGGAGCGGATCCTTTGCCGCCGGGTTTAGGTAACTTAAGGAATACTATAACTGCTCTGCTTTGCCAAGTACTTACAAGTACTAATAATGAGTCAGACATACTGTCCAGCCGAGTACCTGACACGGGGCAAAATTGTTTCACTTCACCGAAACCTAAAGTTATTTCCCCTACCCTTTTAAAAACAGTCATTTCCTTACTGGGTAATCAGACTGTCGCTGGGGTGTAAACTCCTGCAAAAATATAAAGCCCCAACGATAAAGAATAACAGCTCGAATACAAGCAGACTTCAACAACAATATTTTATTCACAAATGGTAACTCACGCTGAAATGACGCTCGTAGTTGTAAGTTTATCGAGTCCATTTCGTTCAAAAAATATTTTAGATTCTATCGCTTCGAGGGCTTTAAATTTGTAAGGGCAATTTAAAATTTAACTTCTTTTCCAACATCCAATTCAAGGGTGTAGTATAATTTTGAACGATTTAAATTGTAGGCAATTGAAAGGAAATCTTTCACATTCAAAAAATGTCTTGGCTAATCAAAAGCTGACTGTAAAAACCAATAAAAATTTAACACTCATCTAAATTTGCAAGGCAGCTTTATAGTTGCAGCTTTAAAGCTACCCCAATTGACTATTGTTTTGGTCTTCGCAAGCCAGCGCGAGGACTCTGCTTAATCACGCCCTCCTTTCATCCGGGGTAATAGTTAAAGTGTCACGCGACTTGTTCTCAGGCTGTTGCCGTTCATGCACTGCAACTTGGATACCGGGCTGCCAATCTTCTTTCAAGGAACCAGAAGATGCAGTGTGTTCGAAATGGTGACTTTTTTGAAGCCTAAATTTTCTCAATTCTAACTGGAAGCGGTACTGTCTGTAGGAGCGCTGAATGATTGTAGCGGCACGAATTTCTTGAATTCTTTTCAATGTTGTACTTTCGGTTTGCGTTCTTGCGCGTTTTGGAAATGCGCTGATAAAATGATGTTCCATCCGGGACTTCATAAGAGTAAACGCAACCGAACCCTCCTCTTCGATTTCTCCAATAACTCGTCGTACCAAAGCTTGCATGACATCGAAACAGTGAATTCTATCTCCTTGCTTAATAGGAATATTCAAATGAATACACGCAAATTTATTAGGTTGAGGAATTTTCAAAGGCGGTTCAAGATTGTCGACAAAGTCAGATAACTGTGAATGAAGAATGTATTGAGTGGCATCTGGATCGTAACGTTCCCACAGCGCATAAAACATTTCTAGATCATCATCCGTGATTCCAACTTCATCCTGTTCATGAGCTTGACTTAGGTTCTCCAAGATAATAGCTATATACATGTTGATGATGATTAGGAAAGTCAAAAGTATGAACGAGACAAAGTATAAAGTAGCAAGCCATGGAATTCCACAATTTCCATTCGGTTGTCCCATATAATTCTCGTCACAGTCAGGAGGCTGAATTAATAAGGGTTCAAGAACATCGTTCCATCCTGCAGATGTAGAAAGTCTGAACAAAAGAAGCATACTACTGCTAAACGTCTCAAAATTTACCACGTCGTCAAGTGTGCCAGTCTTCTTGACATAACCAAACGATGACATGCCAATTATGGCGTAAATGAACATGACGAGAAATAACAAAGCTCCAATATTGAACAGTGCTGGTAGAGAGATGACAAGAGCGAAGAGAAGCCTGCGAATCCCACGTGCTCCTTTATAAAAGCGCAGCAGTCGACCTATTCTGAACACTCGTGCCACGCGAAATAAACTCGGAGTGACGAATAACTTGTAGTCAAGGTATTCTAGAATGATACCTGAAACCAAACAGACAAAGGCTTAAGAACAAATGTAAAATGAAATACAGTTGAGGTAACGGCAAGTGGCCGATTAATGGCGGTTGGCCGCTCACTAGAGGTTCGTTATAAATTAGCATAGCATGAGCATAATCTTTAGCAGAAACATCACTTTATTTTGAAACACAGCACAGAGGTCCTTTAGTTACAGAGCAATCACTGCTTGGAATTCTCTTATAAGTGAAGTAACGAAAAATAGCGCAACACTCTCAGTTTTCAAGCGCGCAGTAAGGCGCGAAATATATAATAGTTCGTAGCAATTTTTAGGATTAGAATTTTTAGAATAGGTTAATTTATTTATTTGAATTTAGTTTTTTTATCATGATATTATTGTAATTTTTATAAGTAGTTTTTATTTGATTTCTAATTATTGTAAATTAAATCGAAAGAGCCACTGGCTGGAGATTTGATAAACTTACTTTCTTACTTACTAAACAAACACGCGACGGGAGCAGCATTACTGGTCCACAGTCGGTCATCAACTCCTATGACAGACTGTATTTTCCTTTATCATATTCTTGAAATAAAGCCAAACTAAATGTATCAAGCGCGCGATGACCGTTAATATAGGTTTCAGTTCCCATTCTTTTCTATAATTATTTCAGGACTTTGATTACTAGCCGCTTAATAGAGGTTCAACTGTAAACTGACTGGTGCATTTGAGCAGTCTGATAAGAGACAATCGGCCGAATCAGTAACTGTTGCTTTCAGAAAACTTGCTGTAAGGCAGAACTGAAGTTAGTATCTGTCTTTTGCTCATGTCCATTGGCCTATGTAAACACGGTAACCTCAGACGCTACCAAGTGTTCTCACTCTATGCCTCCCATCAATCGCTGACAAATTTGCTGCTAGCCACACCCCACATCATGAGGCTAAAGAACCAGTAACAAAACCCCTCGGCTAAAAATGTTTTTGAAGGTCCTTGAGTCCCAATTTAAACTTCAATGTTACGAACAAGTCTCTAGTACGAAGAAGTGGCGTAAATAAACTCTCCTCAATGTTATTCTTCTTAGAGGAAGAAGAAGAAGAAGAAGCATTAGGAAAACTACTACTCGTTCCCAAACGACCTTCTTCTTCTTTTGAGACGTTATGATTTTCAAACATGAATAGCATTTTTGACATTGTTTTCTTTCGTCTAACTCGTCAATGAAGTTTTCTAATAGTCCATTAAAGGAATCGTGTTCAACTAACAGCTTTCCATGTGATCTTTAAGGAATTTTTCATTCTCATTTTTTTTTCATTTTCACCCCTTTATTTTTTTTTCTCTTTGTTTCTTTTCGTATTATGTATTGTTGACCAATTTCGATATATTAAAATTCATGCTTGGCTACGAGGCTTGGGGAATAAAACAAAAGAGAAATGTATCATTCTTTGCTGAGCCTCAAGATAATTTCTTTCACTTGTTTTATTCCTCCAAGCCTCGGAACCAAGTATGAATTTTAATATATTGCAATTGGCCTATTCTTGTAGTCAGCAATCCTCGGAGACCCAGGGGCGGTTAGTCGGGCCAGACGAAAGTTTTCAAGCACGGCCTTTTCTCTCGACCCGACTGACTGCTCTTGGGTCTCCGACGATGGCAGTCAGCTCACTACTATTGTTAATTAGTTTTTTTTAAGGCCAGTTAATGTATTGTACTGTTTGTGGTATCGTTAGTTAAGTTAGGGCCTCAACCACGCCCTCTCATATGAACACATATTACAAAGGATTTACAAAGGATTTAGAAGGCGAGATCTCGAAAACCGGTCTCATGTGAAGAAAACCTTAATAGATAAAAAATCATTCGCAGACTCGCGACCTTTCCGTGACCACTTTGAATCGGATAAGAGAGGACCGTGGACCAAGTCAGTATGATCGGCCTCTTTGCTAGTGACGTCGTTTTCCTAATTTCTAGGTTGCTGCCGTCTCCCACACTGCTATTCCATGCCTGCCAACTTCTCCACCTTTCCTAAAATTCCCACAAAGGCCTTCACTTCCCTTCTTCCCCCTGGTTACTCCAGGAACGTACGACATTTACCGCCTCAACTATATTTTCCGCTAGCATGCAGAGGGCTCTTCTCCCTGGTATTTGCGTCGGTGGCTTCCCCGCCAGCTGAATATCAGGGACAAGAGGCCTCTGCTGGCTGCTGGAACCTCTATCCTCTCTAGTCTCAGGGTTACTCAAGCCGTCATAATGAACACAGAAAGATCAATAAAAATAGTTTTTTGACAAAATAGATTCCTTTACATCACGGCATAGTCAACTTTCATTCATCAGGTCATGTTCAGTCTTTGGAGCGGTGAGTGCACGTCATTTCATGCCGATGTCATAACAATACGTGTTCTGTTGTTTTCGTTTTGTTTGAAAATTAATAATATTTCATCGACAGATGAGGGATTCAACTTACTTCAAATCTCCACTTTTTCAAAATAATATAATAATAAGGGGAAAGGTTGTTCAGAACAGTAGTTTTGCCGTTTTTAGTTTTGGATGCGTGATACGTCCTAATAGAACAAACCAGAGATAAGTAAATCCCTTAAATGAGCAATATTTTTCGAAAAATATTGACTACGTATACCGGGCCACTCGAGAAAAACTTTAAGAAACATTCAGTTACTGCAATGCAATATGCAGTGAAGTTAAACTCCGGTCCAAAAACTGAGGGTACGGTAAAAGAACCTATCATTAGCATTCTTCAATCACTTCAATTCAGTTTTTAGAAAACTCGCTCAGCACAGTTGCGGGAATGGGTGACTGACTCGCTAATAAACACTGAAAATACATCACTAATGGAATGCTCTTAAGCACCACATTTCACAATAAATGTCAAGTGTTTACTTGACCTGCTATAAAGAACACCAAATAAGTATGTTATTGGAGTATCGATGCGCGAAACAAACTTTGTGGTTTTAAAAGCAGCTTTATTGAATATAAAATAACTTGTACTTTAGACCCACGTTGCAGGAACGCGTATGAACAAAGTTCGCCATATTTTAATATCAGCCATGCCACATGACTCCAGAGGTGCGACTAAATTGGACAATAAAGATTCTAAAAGAGCAAAACAGAACAGCTCAATTCTGGAGTATGGGATACGAAGGAGGATTGTTGCCATGAAAGCAGGTGTGGAGTGAATCGCATATTTTGTCGTAACTTCGTTTTTTTTTTGTTTTTCGTCTTATCATGCAAATCTCTCAAATATGGATGCAAATAAAGGATATTTTAAGTGTTTTTGTGAAACAATGGGTTTTATTTCATCACTATCCAGAACACCAATTATTTTTTTCAGCACTACAGTTGCAATCTCTAGTAAGCGACTAAGTCCCTTAAGCGACCGCGCTTAAGTCTGGCAGCAATTTTGGTGGTCACCAACGGGAGGCTCAACGATAAAGAAAACACTTTTTCCACCGCAGAAAGACCAAAAGAAGTTGAAAATACTAAGCAAAATGTTGTAAAATATATATTGAAGTTGAAAGCAAGTGATTAAGTAACGACCACAGCCATCAATTGCTTTTACTATGACATTCTATTTATAAACTTACCTATAATTGATAGAATAACGATGGTAAAATCAAAGATATTCCACGGCTGTGTGAAATAATGCAGGCGAAGAGCTATAATCCTGACAAATGCCTCCAAGGTAAATATCGCGGTAAATACGAGATTTATTATATGTGAGGACCCGAGAAATATCGGGATAGGAGTTAAGGTTGTTCCAGCTTTGTTTGTTTTAAAATGCCATCCCATGCACTCTATTTGTTAGTTCTAGATTTTGAGTCTGTCAGGTCTGTTCGTGGAAGAAATCCTGTTTCATAGCAGCTAAATGTAAGCCGCGGTGAGCTTACAGTCCGCCCACGTTTCCTTTGGTATAGATTATTACACTGTACACTGAGATGGTTCTAACGTTTGAGTGGTGAGTGTATAAAATGCTCAGCCGAAAACTATAAGTAACACTATCCGAACTGTTGTGATGCTGTTTATTGAGTTGTACAAAGTCATGGCTCCAACTTTCTCATGATTACTCCGTGTGGACTGTTTGACTGTGAAATGGTAAAAGCTATTACGTGCGATAGATACAGGGACACGTTCACACCCTCAGTGACCTCAGTTTGTCGTATAAATATCTACATTCCTCACTCATAGATTATAGAATAAGACGTCAATGTTCATAAAATCAAGTAGAAGCCGCAGGCGAGTAGTTTCACTTGAAAGTTTTGAACATTTTAATGTCACTTTCATGATCTATACGAGTGTAGACAATGGAATGTTGCGGTCAACTTGTTGTTTACAAAAACGGTGCAATTTTTGAACGCTTAATTCCGTCGGCCTTTTCTCTTAAAATTCTAAAAATTACCCTTGAGGCAAGACGAGAAAAAATTGCACAATCATTTCCCCGTCATTCATTGTCTATACTCTAGAGCATGACAAAACTGACTGCGTAAGGCTTGCGGGTACACTACTATGCTAAAAAACAAACAAAATAAAAGGATATTCATGGTCAAGTTGACTTGTTGGCTTTGCCCATAATGCTGAATCATCATGACCAACATATTAAGACAAATCAGCAACATTATTGCTGTCTCAAATTTAGAGCTGTGAATGATATCAAACAGACGAGCCTGCCACCACACCTAAAATGCAAAAAAGAGACGCACATCTATTGGGATGTTATAAACAGATTCTTAGGTATAGATCATAGATTACAGCGACGTAGTTTTTGTGTAAAAGGAGAACTGAAAAAAAAGAATGTACTAGCTAGAGCTGTCAGAGCTGTTCATCTCCCGAAAGGTAACCGCGATCATGGCTGGCAAGACCAAGATATCCCAGGCGCCGTTTAGCTATGGTCAAAAGACAAATTTCCATATCTACATCTGTATTATCCTGTGTCTTCAGTGAAGTGGCATACAAGAAAAATTGCGGGCAAATAGGATTTTTATGTTTTCTCGTAGTGCTTTGAGTTAATTGATAAGGAAAGAAATTTTTGGTTTGTCGAGTTGCTTATAACCGCATCTCATTGTTATGGGTCGGGCTAAGGTAATTGGTCAATTGTCATTACCCCCTCGAACGATAGACACGTGACTTTGTGTTAGCATCCACTCACCCTACCTCCTCCCCTATCTGCAGGTTTTTGCAAGTGGTTATGCAGTTTTTGAATTTATTGCTGGGCCCAATAAGACTTTCTTGAACTTTTCAACATAGGATTTTATCTTTTGAAAACTTCCTTAAAGCGGCTATGGGCAGTTGCTCACATCCGATTTAATCCATCTTTTGTGGTTTGTCATTTATCTAGACCTCCCGGTCCCGTAAACGAGCTTCAATAAAACTAGAGATCGGATTAATTGATTAGTACGAAGGAAAACATAACAGTTGTATATAAATTAGATGCATTAAGTCAAGGACTCACGTCGCTAACAGTCGAAAGTTTTACATGATGAAGTACTAACCTTTGGGCGGCTGATCATTTTCTTAGGTTTCTTATTGGCTGCTTTTTTCAGAGTGTTGAACCAAGCCTTTTGGGACGGTGTCAGGAAGATGTCTAGTGCGCCACTGTCCTCGTACTGTAGAAGAATTGAGCAATGAAAAAATTGCGAAAGTACTACGATGATATGTGTTTATGATTCTTATCAGTACTTTTCGGAGAAATTACAGCCAACGCGTTATAGATATTGATTTGAAGGCAACGCGCAACCCCTCCTTATTTGTCATCAGGGACTATTCCGTCCCTGCGAAACTGAAATGCGGTCTTGATTGGCCATGGACGCCCGAAAAAAGGCCGAAAGAATCTTGAACCACAAGGGCATGCAATGCAATCACATTGTTATTTTAAAAAAACTATATATTAGCAGAAATAAAGAGAAATTGTCTTAAAATGATCATTGATATGGGCATACACAAGAGATCTCTTGTCGGGGGACATTCCTTTACCTTCCTTAGACACAAGCCAGAGACGACACCTTTTCAAGACAGCAGCGTAAACGTTAAATGGAAAGTTATGAAAGTTTTTTATTCATCGCGTCATGTGTATGATATGGCTCGTCAGTTTAGTGTTTGCCTCACGATAGTTCCCTAGTTATTGTTCGCGACGTTTCGACCGCGTGTAGCTGGTCTTCATCAGGCGATGGTGTCAGTGTGCCATGCCGCAGTATCGTGTTTCTTTTTTTTTTCTTCTATGCATATGGTACCATCGTGCTTGTGCGATACGAATCTCACCCAAGTCCTGCACAGAAATTCGACGCGATCGCCTGTTGAGGACCAGCACTACGCGGTCGAAACGCCACAAATAAGAATGAAAAAGTGACTGTAGTGAGACAAACGGCAAACAAGCTCTATAAAGTTTGTTAACTTTGTTTTACCTGTTTCTTGAGCCGATTGAAGTTATCGATGATGACTCCAATAAAGAGATTCAAAGTAAAGAATGAGCCAACGATAATGAACACCACAAAGTACAAATAAGAAGCAAAGCTGTGTTGGCTTTCTGGCTGTTCGTCGAGCTGAAGAAAGAAACAACACCTTAGTACAGTCGAAGCTCTTTGACACGGACACCAAAGGGACATATTAGCAGGTCAACCGCAGCCAGCCGACTTTGGATCCAACAATAGACAGGTGTTCGCGAGGAGCCACCGGGGCGGTTTGTTGGGTGGGGAAAAAACTGCGAAAGTTTTCAAGAACAATTAAGAGAGCCAGACGTGTATGGCGAACAGTCGAATTTGCTGGTAAACATCTTCGTACACGAAAGTAGCGCGATAGATGCTGGCCTTCGATTGGGCACAAAAATATTTCTTGTGCCCAATCAGAGATAAGCGTTCGAATGAGTAGTGGAACTGGTTTGTTAAGAGTAGCATTCCAGGGGCTCTCTCGCCCGTCTTTGGTGAAATCTTTAGCCGCCGTTTTTCCGGACCAGCTAACAGCCCCTGGGTCTCCGAGGATGGGAGAGCTTACACTGTATTGTGTAAAACTAACGAGTACCATCTTTCTTTCTTCACTTGGACGAAACAGACGTCAGGTTTAGGAGAAAGTGCGAAATCAAAATTTGTCTGGACTAACTGGACTTGCTCTTTAAAACTAAAGAGTCCTAAGAATATCAGAACAATCATAGTGTTTGCGACCGGGTTCAAGTTTTACAGTGCGACTACTCGAACCGGGGCACTTGGGAGAAGATTTTCCAATCATAACCATTTTTGACAACAAAATATTCTCCGTTTTTTCTTTGCACACGGACCAATGAATTTCAAGATACAACTATGTAATCGTTAAAAACTTTAAAACCGTTTGAACTTACCCGACCTCTCAGAAGACAGCTCTCAAATTTAGGAATGTTATTGGTCTTTTTGCAAAGAAAAAACTGAAAATATTTTGTTTTCAGAAATCGTTGCGATTGAACAATCTTCTTTCAAGTGTCCCGGTTCGAGTAGTTGCACTGTAAAGTTCTTTGGTGTGCGTCAGTTACCTTCATATTCAGTCCACGATATCACGTTAAAAATGAATATCCATTTATTGTGAAGAGAGAGGAAAATGGGTTATAAGTCTAGTAACATTAATTTTATCACCATTTCAATATTTAAGCAACAGAAAACGTTTTCCGTGTTTGCATAGCCTGATATAAACACTCGAGGGGTTGGGAGAATTCGAGACAGTTATGCAAACCCGAGACGAAGTCGAGGGTTTGCATAACTGTCGAGAATTCTCCCAACCCCTCGAGTGTTTATATCAGGCTATGCAAACACAGGAAAAAAGTTTTCTATTGCTTTTATAAAATAACTTTACTGAGAAAAAACTCAAAAACTCTTTGTTTACTGTTTGTTATGGTACTGATTAAAACAGAAATTCTTACCAGTCTTAAAGTCTTGTACACGAAGCAGGGGCACCCAACGACAATTTTCGGAAAATATCTGTTCCGAAGACGATTTGAGATCTAGAATTTTCGGAACATTTGTTGTAAAATTTTTTTGCATGCCTCTCTCTCCTAGGATTTTCGAACATCTAAAAACTACTATAATTGCCCATTTTTTAACGGATTTTTACCCTCGAAAGGTCACCTAGAATTTTCGGGAGCCTTTTTTCTGGCTGAAATTTTCGAAAAGGTAAGTTTTGATCCCTACAATTTTCGGATCACTAGACTTTCAGCTAGGAAATCCGAACAGATGAAAAATTTATAGGGGATAAAAATATGCCTATATATACCTTTTAAATACTAAAATACGTTTAACAATGCTATGTTTAAGTGGTTTTGAACTATATTCTCGTTGGGTGCCCCTGACGAAGTCTTGCACGCGTAATCAGTTCTTGTTTTGCAAAAAGATGCTTTCCAAAATACGGATTTTTCTCGCTTAAAATGTTAGCTTTAGCGAAAAAAATTGACACAGCTTGTTTATAAAGATTTTCCAAGTTTCAGCCGACGAAGGAATGGGTAAATAAAGTAACCTTGTCGAGTTTTGAAGTCAAAAACTTTTTCAAATTCGTGCTTACGTGATTAGCGCGCGAAAAGCAAAACATCTTGACGTCACAACCATGTTTACATACTCTCATGCAGACCCGCCTCTCGGCCAATCAGAGCGCGCGTACTATCTTTGCTATTTTATAAATAAGTATATATGATCTCGAATAATTTAAAGTGTCAAATGTGCTAAAAAATGAACATCAAATTGTGCGTTTCTCGTACCTCCCTGGCGTCAATGGCATCTCGCATGATCTCCATCCATCCTTCAAACGTGGCCTAAAAAGTAATTATGACAGTTCGTAACTCGCCTCATACCAACCTTACAGCGCGATCACTTAAACAAAATTGACGAATCAGATTACGGGAAAATAACAATACATTCCAAGAAAGTTAGTTGTGGGCCAAACAGCAGCTCGCAAAAAATATAAGGTACTCGAAGTACGAAATTTAAAAGCAAACATTTTTGAAGAAAGCAAAATGTTTCAACAGACAATATTTTTCTATTCGAAACTTTACATATAAAACCCAGGATACATGTTTGTTTGACACCAATCTGTTATTTTGTCATCTACCAGCAATTTCTTCGCTACCATTGCCGCGCTTTTTGATGACATGAGATCTCAAGTAAAAAAATATAACTAACGTTTACGTTTTTTGCCCCCATCATTCACTCTAACGGACCTCTCAGGAAACACAGTCTTTCTCCAGCGGGTTCAAATGTTCACGTCTGTAGGTTGTATTTGGTTGATTTCGACCCATATTTTTTATTTCATTTCGTGGTTATTGTGATTGACAACCAACTCTTTAGGAATGTATTGTTATTTTCGTGTAATCCGATTGGTCAACTTTGTCTATTAGATGGCCCCGGTTATAGTAGTCGCACTGTAATGCTTTACTTGTGGGTACCTGAGTAAATGTCGAAGATACTTAATTTGTCGGGGTGAATCGGTTCTTAGGTGCTATTTTGGCCAAATTTCAGCCTGAAGGGTGTTAATCCTCTGTTTCCTTTATGCCTGTGGTATTTGTAGTACTCCCTGATCTCAGTTCAAATTTTCTTTAGCGTCAAGACAAACGCGGATATAGTGTTATAATATCATTAATGTTCCTTTATCTTTAATCAGTTAATTGCCAATAACACAGGCTAATCGCGGCAATGGGTGGTCATAATTAGCTAGGCAGTGGACTAGTTGGGTGAAAATAATTTTTAACTTTGGCCTTAAACACAGGCAAAGACGGAGCGCTAACAGCAGCATGCAGGAAACTGTATTACCACAGGCACACCACTCCCGCAGAGTCTGGAGAACCTGTGGTATTACCTGAGTTTATCTCTCTCTTCCATTGCCTTTCCTTGTTGATGTTCTATTTCGTGGTCGTTTACTACAAAATGTGTTGCTTGCCTACCAAGTTACCTTAAAGGAAAGTTTCCCGAGCTTTTGTCTTGAAAAATTTTTAATAACACAAAGAAAGAATCGTGAACGAACTCACCACTTGAAAAAGAGCAATGAGACCATTAAACACGTTATCAAAGTTGATGTTGGAATTTATCCATCGATAGTCTGCATTCTGCATGCATTCGCTTTTGTTTGGCACTAAACTGCTAGGTAACCGCTCCCCATCACCATCTACACATTTGAAGAATCTACCACCAAAAAATTGCACTCCAACAATGCTGAATATAAGCCAGAACACCATGCAAACCAACAGTACATTACCGATACCGGGGATCGCAAACAGTAATGAATTCACTACAACCTTCGAAAAAACACAGATTTAATGTAGCATGTTAAATTGTTATCAGAAGAATGAAGTACCGCTATTCCTACAAATTTCAAAAAGGGCAACTACGACTGAATTTGAATTTTAAAAATTGTGATGGTTTCTATACGTAGTATCAGTGAAATTTTAAAAACCTGTTGATATTCATCCAAGCAGTACCAACCACAGTTTGTAGCGCGCTACAGCAGTGGAACCCAGCTGTATAACAACGTCCCCGGTATAACAAACCATATACGGCTTACCCCTCCCTCCCGGCCCAATTAGTTACAACAGAATGTATGAAATAAGACTACGGGGGAAAGTCTCCCTGTTAAAGCGAACACATTCTATCAATCCTTTGAGAATTTATTATATCCGGCTGTAATACTGTATTTGGGTGTCCAACCACTAATTTAAGGCTATTTTCATAATAAGTCTATACCGGACAGCTTTTCGTGCTTCGTGTCAACACGAACAGCTTCGTGTCAACACGAACAGATATCCGGTACAATCCGGGAGAGTAGAGACCTTAAGATCCGAGGACGGCGACGGCAGAGAAAACGTCCCCAAAAAAGAATTCGCGTTATTTCAATTTTCATTACGATTACTCCAAGTCACTAACTTTGTCAAATTTAGGTGAACCCTTCTAAAGTACTTAAGGATTCTTGGTATAGTTTCAAGTCTTTCTCCCTCCTTTAAAGCATCAGCGAACACATGAGGGAGACATGCTGCACTTTAATCCGTAAAAGTGCAGCTTCAGCACGTCACTGCCATTTCTTTACATCAAAAAAGTGTTCTGCACGTGCAAAATTGTTTTTTTGGTTATTTAACTCATTGCTTTTGTGACTTTCTTGTTGCCGTCGGCGTCGTCGGATCTTAAGGTCCCTAGTATGAACAGCAACGGCCCGGGGCGACAAAAGTCGTTCACATCGTGCCTTCAGCACGGTTGGCTGAGAGGGTTTGGTGCACTCAATTCCAGTCCTAACTCATGAATATTTACTTCCGCCTCAATGGTTTCTGCCCCCCCCTCCTACCTATTTACGGAGTTCACACTGCACCAAAGTATGGCACAAAACCTATCCGATATGTGACTCTCCACTTTCGTGATCGACGCGGCACAGCTTTGCTCTGTCCCAGAAATCGCGACGAAATCAGCCTCCGTTTCCTGTGTTTGAACAAAAGCTATCCAGTACAGTGCGAACAGCTTAAAACTAGCGTGACCCAATGTTGTTGCAAGGCATACTCATGTCGTTAATACCGTTGACATCTTTAAGATTTTTGTTACCTTCATTCCCTCCCATCGTGATATAGCCCGAAGTGGCCTAAGTGCTCGTAGTGTACGAATGGAACGAAATGAAGAGAGGCTACTGTCGCTGTCTCCGTTTGTGGACGTTTGATTGGCCACAGAAGTCAAAGAAATCTGTAAGATAGTAACAGTCATTATCAATATTAATTCTTGGCGACCCTTAGTTTCATCCTTAGGGTGGGCGTAACAAGTAGTAAAAGGATTTCATTGTCAAAGATTCCAAGAAGTACCATCTCGTAAAGCACCAAGAATATGTACCAGAGAAAAGTACTTCTATTTAGTACTGGCTTTCATTTGACTGAATGGTCAAACCCATAGAGTCAGAAGAGTAACATCTTGATAATCTGATTAAGGCCGGTTCAGAAGCCGTACTTCACATGAGCAGAATCGAATTAGAATTTAGACCAATTCAAATTAATTCAGGCCGTCTGAGTTGATTCAGACGCCGATCTTTAATTTATCTGAGTTTAAATAAATTCAAAAGGGAAAAACGCGCATTTTCGTTAACCTCATTATAGAAGTTATGCATCTAGTTTGGCCCATGTGAAGTTCGGCAAATTCAAATCCAAATTCAATCATCCGATTCAGATTGATTAAGACGCCGTTAATTCTTTGAATTCGATTCGGTTCATGCGAAGTACGGAGGCTGAATTGGGCCCAATGGCTGTATACTCTGAGCGTTTTTAATAGTAATTTTCCTTCTTGCATAGCAGACATTTGCTCAGCTGCTATGGAAACCGGAGGTACAGCGAACCTCGTTGTGAGCATCGTTTAAATCATGACGAAAAGGTAATTGTAGGAAGTACAATCACATTTGGATGAAATAAGCGTCTCGTTAATATAAGGTTGATTTTAAAGTCCATTTCACTCATGTATGTGTCAATTTAAATCACAGATTAATTCGTTTCAGTTGCATACAAAGGTATTGAAATCTCCTCTCCTTTCACCGATGTTTTCATCTTTTCAGCAAGGTTGAGGTGAAATAGTGTTACCAACAATCACGATCGATTTTTTTTTTCAATTTTTTAAGCAACTCCATTCAAACAAAATCAGTTTAATTATTGTTTTATTGCAATGTTATGATAAAGAAAAAGGTTAGTGCTTTACGGGAAAGAGACTATATGTGACAGAATTTTGTACGGTTTAGTAGAGCTTCTAGGCTAATCTTTATCTTTTGCTGAATTAGTGTATAGCTGGTCGAACGCAAAGTTAATTGTTGATTTTTCATTAATGCACATACACTGAACAAAAATATTAAAAATTTAGTCAGTTTATGGTATGGTTAACAGTTTAAGATTCTTACAGAGTTAAGTTCGTCGACAGATTCTACAGCCGTGAGTAAGGATATCTGAAAGTAAAGAATTCAATTAAATGCTAGTTGTCGGTCTTACTTTGTTTATGCTCAAACTGGAATTAAATATTTGTTTAAGTGCCAAAGATAAAGATCACTGAACAACCAAAGTGCTATATATGCATGGTTTAATAAATTGTCTAACTCAAGAAGCAAAACACAATCAATAAAAGTGGGGGAAGGACGGTGCATGGTATCAATATTTTAGGTTTTAGAGAATGAATATAGACGAGAGGGTAACTTCCACCAGCCTAATCATCCTATTCAGTTATTTACTGACAGTCGAACGAATTACAGATAATAACTTACTGTACAACATCCTAGAAATTCTAGAACACGGAGGGTCGTAGGTTCGAAGCCCATCTGGGGCTCAGATTTTTTTCTGTGTCCTCTTATGGTTGATTCTTTACATCTCCCTTTATTTCCTTTATAATATTAATCTTTGCCGTGATGGAGTAAATTTTAAAGAATTTGTAAGTGAAATCGGAATTCTGAGGGTGAATTCTGCAAAGGTACTAAACATAAGGGCGGCAACGTGGCAAATGGAAGAAAAGCAGAATGTTAGTTATCTGAAGAGAGCAAAAAATATATATATAAATCAGGATCCAGATTTGATGTAAGTGAAATTCGAAAAGTGAATACTGAAGAACGAAAGTGGGTACTTGCACTGACTGAAAAGTGTGTAACACTGAAGTTTTGTCCATAAAGCTAAATCCAAGAGTTACCACAGGAATATGTGCAATTTACCCCTGACTGAGGGGCTCTGGTGACAGTGATACAGTCACGGGAACGCGGTTCACAAACACTAAGTTGACATGCGGTTGTGGTGCCGTGGCCGCCAAGTCAAGCGGGCTCTTAGAAGAAAAGGCAGACAAGGATTAAAGAGAAACGTAGGGGTCGGAGCAGTGATTGCAGCAGCAGATGGTGCCAAGGAAGTGAAACTTATGTAGTACAAGGCAGAAAAGGTTCATATCAACACTACAGCTAACTATAGACTTATCAAAATAAAATGTGTCACACTTTTTCGCTACTTTTTTTTTAAAAAAATAACATCGTATTAACCCATAGGAATATGTCCATATTTGGATTTGCCTAATGTCTACAATTAGCTAGCAAATGATTATGACATGGAAAATAGACGGTGTGCAGTTAACCAGTGGTGGTAAAGCGGAGTTGACGATATATGTGAGTTCGTGCCTCGGAACACATAGAAGTGTCCTTCGTCCGTACCAAGCGGTGTCCATATTATGCCGGCGGCGGGTTAATCTTATAAGAAAATATATAATAAGCTTTTCGTCGGGACAAACTAAACTGTCCGTTATAAACGGATGTCGGAAAAGCGGGGTTCGTTAGGTAGCTCATTCAATCTTAGCACGGGCACCCCAAACTCATTAAGCGAGCGCTTGTTAAAAATTAATAAATCTGGTAATGTTGCCTAATGAAGCGATTTCCAGAGTTTATATCGGAACGGTAAAAATTCGAGAAATACGCCGTAATAATATTCTTAGCTTACTGTGACGAAACGAAATAAAATACACTTACTTGTGCTGTATTTTGTGTCCATGTGTACTTCTGAGGCGATTTGGGCTGGTTTTGCCATTCGGTCTTAAACTGTTAATTTCAACAAGCGCTCGCTTAATGGATTTGGGATGCCTGTGATCTTAGTAGTAAGTAACATGAAGTTGGTTCGTTCTTAATGTTACAGAGAATGACAGGTTTATTACAGGTTTTACAGAATTTTTCTCATTACGATTTTGATTATCGAACACTTTAAGCTATTCCTCTTTTACTAGTTTGCTAAACTAATGTATTACGCATTCCTTTGTCAATCATATCATAATTTAGCTTTTCACTGTTTTAAATGTTCTTTACTTACAGCAACAATTATCACATCCAGGCAATTCCACGCGTTCTTAAAATAGGTAAGAAACCCCAATCCGAGTGTCTTGAGGAGGAATTCCACACTAAAAACCACCGCGAACACGATGTTGAGATAATTTAAAACTTTTTTCAACGTAGGACGACTGTCTAGGTGAACATCCTCGAAAACCTGAAAACCAAACCAAAATTGGATCACCAGAGATTGTTAGTCTTGCCTCGTGAAAGTATGATCATTGAAATTCACAGTAAAAGATCAAGAAGAGTGCAAAATATCATATCACGTGCACAAAATACTATCAACAAAAAAAGATAGTTTTCCTGATGAGATTCCATTTTGTATGGCCCCAACATTGGATTTTTTCCATAAACGTGTAATTTCTGGACCCATTTTATTCTCTTTGGGTGCTGCGAAGAATAGGTACCCTTTTGCTGTACTTTAGACTCAGGAGCCATGCTATCTAGTGACACCCTTATTCTGTATCGAGTACCTTAAACAATAAATTTAAACAAACTTTATATTGAGGCCTACTTAAAATCTGGGGCACGAGGAAAATTCTTTTAAAATTTCCCGAAAAACCAACGGGTTAGTTGAGAGAATACAGTATTAACAATCAAGAAGGCCAAAAAGGTTGCGCTATGGATATTGAATAATGTTATGTAAGGAAATGCGTATGCTCTTACCAGCGTGATGCTGCTAGCGACTATGATCAGAAGAATCGCCCACTCAAAATACCGATGCTCAACTAGCTTCTTGATCTTATGGCGCATACTCCTCCAAGCACGATAACCACGTGACTCCTTCCACTTTGAAATGCAGTTGCAGGTGCAGAATTTCATCCAACAAGGACAGCACTCCTGAACCTCGGTCATAACGGGATCACCTGAGGGTCGTCCCGTCTGATCAGCCTGAACACTCTGTCGCGGGCTGGGTAATGTTGCAGATGAGCGAGCTAAGCTAAGTACTGTGCTGGATGTAACGGAATCTTTATTTGCTGCTTCAATTGCAATGGAAAGCTGAATACACAACAGTAGCACATACACGTGTTAAGGTTCCGTATTTAACACTTTCAACCATCTGAATGAGAATCAGTATTCAGGACTAGAAAACACGAGAAGTCGACAACAATTTTGTATATATTTTTTTTAGTTTTGGAGTATTTTCTGTTATTATTCGCGTCCAGCATTCCAAACTCCAAGAATCTTCGGTTCACCAACTGTTTAACTTAAGAAGTGCCTTTTAAAAATCTCGATTAAATCAAATTTTTGGAAAAATAAAAACTAACAGCTTTGAAATAGAATGAAAAATGAATTGTTTGTAAATTTCCTTTTCATGGGGTTTCGTCCATCAACACGAAAGTTGGCGATGTACACTCAGGTTTCACAACTGCTGTGACAGTGCTATAAACTCACCCTTTTCATGTGATCTCTGTTGAGTCTTCCTTTCTTCTGAAATGCTGTCACCGCAGTCAGCAAAGCTGAAGATCCATTTGAGGAATCTAATAAAAGTAATTTAGAGGCAACTAAGCTTGTGGTACAAATTAGCACTCGCCGGATAACACAAAACAGGAAAGTGGGACTGAGAACCTTTAATGATCTTTTGACAAAGCAGCCTAACATGTTAAAATTGCAAGTCAAGAAGAAAAAACATACTCAAAGGAAGCTTGTTAACTTAATTTCAGAGAATGCGATTTTTTTTAGAGAAGTTCTTCAAAATAAATGGAAGTTGACGAACAAGACTCACCCTTGTTGTCCGTGTTTCTCACTGATTCAATATCCGCGGAAGTCTGGGACCCGTCTGATGGTTTCACTTGCGAGCGACGTGGTAACATGTTACTTATCCGCAAAACTTTACTAAGTCTATGGACCCCTTGATAAAACTTGCTTGGTTTAGCATCGCTTTTCTTCTCTGCTTCATCTTGCAGCGACTCACGAGCAAAGGCATTAAGCAGCAGAGCAAGAAACAGATTTAATACCTAAAGTAGACAAGATAATCAGGTGACAGAAAAATGACTCAACCCCTAACCAGATAAAAATGTAAAACTGCTATGAGTTTAAGAACATTCGCTTCAGTCTAATTCGGATAAAGGTCGGTTTACAAATCAAGTGGTATTTATAACATTGTAATACGACTCACCAAAAAGTTACCGATCACTAATGCAGTGAGGAAAAACAAGAATGACACAGGACTGGTCGCTCTCATACAGTCGTACAACGGCTCTATCCATTCTCCACACAGAATTCTAAATATCATCATACATGACCGGCCAAAATCGTTGAAGTTCCAACGAGGAATGTCGCCATTAAATTTCTCTTCTGTGTAAGAACTGGTGAAATAAGATGTAGAACGTGAGTTCATAAGTTGACTGATTGGTGATGTGCCATCTATGAAACATCCGTAGGTAGCGGTTGAACTCAATGTAACTTCGTTGTTTAAACCCTAAATCACAGATAAAATCTGAAAACCTTTTAGGGTGCAAAGATGTCCAAATCAATTTATTCTGACATTACCTTCCAAAGAGCTGCATTCCAACCACTGCAAGCATGTATACAATAATTCCTAGCACTAACGTGAGGTTACCAAGCTGACCTATACTGCCAGCAATGGTCCTGAGCAGCATGTTCATTGTCCTCCATGACTGAGCCAATTTGAACACGCGCAGCTGGAAACAAATTATACAAAAAAAGGTTCAAGAAAAACATAAACTGCAAGAGTCATAGAATTAAGAAACCGATCTCCGCCATGAATTGAAACCATTTAACACATTTGGTACCGTGCACTTTTAAAAGAAATGGCAGATGCGCCTTTCTCAATGATTGAAACGATTGTGACACTACTAACCAGTCTAAATGTCCTAAGAACACTAAATCCACCACCGTTTCCAATATCAGAGACTTCCAGAATGAGATCCACGATGCTAATAGTCACAATGAAACCATCAAATATGTTCCAACGGCTCTTCAGGTATCCACGCGGACCAAACGATATCAGTTTCATTACCATCTCCAGGAGAAACACGAACGTAAAAACCTGTTTAGAAAAGATGTTTCATTTGCCAATATGTCAAATATTGGCAGATTAAAAGTCACATATAAGGATGTTTTCTAGAAAGGAAAAAGGAAAATAAGTAGATTTCTTAAAAAACGTGCTATGTATACACTCCACTGCCATATGACGTTAGAAAATTTCATCTGAAATTCATCTGAGTAGAATGCGAGACGTAATAAAATCATCTCTTTTGGTAAATTCAGTGGAGGAATGAGGACAATAATGGAAAAAAAATAAAAAGCGGCTGATGAAAAAATAATGACGATAAATAAAACATTAGGCAGTAAGAGTAACTACATTTGACCCTATGTTCGCTTCCTTAGAATGGCTCTCCCTATCATTGCAAAGCATTGAGAATATTTATTCCAGTTTTTTTTGTCACTGAGAAGCATATGAAGGATTATTTGCTCTACTATAATTACTACTTCCACTACTGCACCAACCGGTGATGTTAATTCGGCCATGCAAAAATTAAGTCAGTTCTTTTTACATATTCAGTAGATAAACGAAGCCCACGAAGAAAAGTAGTTTAAAGAGTCAACACTTTTTCATAGGCTTTACGATGATAGGTAACATAAGGTCAAATCTTGTCGGTAACTAGTGCCTTTACCACCTCACCAACCGGTGCAATTAATTGGGGCAGGCAATAATAATTGCGGTACATCACACTTACCATGTTACCAATGTCCAGAGCCATTTTGAATTTCTTGTTCATGTCATGGTATTCCAAAGACAAAAACAGGGTGTTTAAAAGGATGCAAAACGTTATAAACATTTCAAATAAAGGATCCATCGTCAGTTTAGTAATACGTTTGCAGATAGTTTTCCTTCTGGATAAATCCTCCTTACGGTGTCTAGAAGTTTGTTCTTGAGATTCACCCTTACGCAATGATCCCACCGATCCCCGAGGAGTTCCCGACGGTGATATTCCTGGAGAAATTTCAGGGAATGTTACTCTTCTCTGTCCATCGTAATTATCTTCTCTTGTGAAGTGATTTTCAACTTCTGTTGTCTCATTTTCACTTATAACAGTTAGCGTTCTAGCCCAAGATGGCTTCACTTCTAAAAATTTCGAACCCGAATGTGAATTTTGACCCGTCTCTGATTTAATTCCGTTTGTTGGAAATTTAGTACAGGATTGGGATTGGCAAACGGGCGGTAAACGTATTTGCATGTCATTTCCATTCGGCAGTTTTGCCGTCGTCAAACGTTCATTTATTTCGGATACTGTAGAATTATCCACGGTGGCTGTCTTGTTTTCCGTTGAGTTCAATCCATTTGGTGAGTAGCGCAGACTCACATGGCTTCCATCATTTGCGCTCTTTAGTTCTTGGGCTTTTGAGTTCGGAGTGCCTTTAAAGCAAGGCACACAAAGGGACAGTTTGCATTTTGTTACCAAAGCTTCAGGATTAAGTTTTCCGTTTTCGGCAAGAAGCTTGGGAGCAGCACGACCGTGAAATGAGTAGGAAGATGCAACAGCTTTCAGCTCTTCATAATTTGCATCCTGTATGAAAAACAAGAACAAAAGTAATGCATAACGCCTAAAATGTAACAATCCCACACAGTATTGCGTGTTCTGCTGAGCACACGGAACGGCGATGATAATGGTATCTTTACCTGACAGAGGGCACAAAAAAATATGGCTGTAATTAGCCGAGTAAAACTGTTAGATTACCATAAAGATTTCCAAAATGTTTATTTGCTTGTCTTACCCTTTCTTGCATGGCCACTACTTCCTGTTGATATGAAACAGCCACTACTGCAAGCACCAGATTAATGAGGTAGAACGAACCAAAGAACACCACGAACATAAAATAAAACACGTACCAAGAACCCATGGAAGAAAGTACCTGGATGGTAAAAACACCAGAAAAAAATATACAAAGTAATTGTTTTGTTTTTTTGCAGTGTATCCGTTAAAACTCTTATTTGGGCAGCGATTTCTGTTAGCTTCAAGAAGTTAAAACTAAGACAGGCAATGATTCTCACCAAAGCTTGTTTAGTTTGATCATGATCTTTTTTGAAAACGTAAAAACACCTTTTATGCTCGCCCATTTGAACCAACAATTTTGGCAATGACCACACTTTTTCGAAGAAATTAACCAGCCAGGATCCATGTTTACTCAATCGCTAGTCAATTATGTGCACATGAATGAGGAGGGAGGCTTAATTATTGAGGTTGTTTGAATTAGTTACGTTAAATGCCAAGAGATGAACAGGTAGAGGTTCCATTACTCACATAGTTAAAGACGTTCTCCCAAAAGTCCATTGTTATAAGTTGAAAAGCAGTGACCAAAGACCATGCAAAGTTATCAAAGTTCGTGTAGCCATAATTGGGGTTATCACCAACTGATAAACAGGTGTAATTCACAGGGCAGTGACTGAAAACAAAAAAAAAACAGAGCTGGAAATAGGTTATCAAATATTTTATCTGGTTTAAAAGGCAGGTGCGGAGACATCACATATATTTTCGGCTTATCAGTGTATCAAAGAGTCTGTGGTGCTGTTGTGCTGTATAAAATGGTTGGAAAGGTTAATGAATTAGGTAGATGAAAAGATGAAAAGCCTTAGGTCTACTCATTCAATTGCTGAAAATATCCATTACAGGGAAGGTTAAACTTCGTTGACGGCAGCTAAGACCTTTACAATCGCAGTTACAAGTGAAGGCCGGTCTAAGCTCTGTAAGCCGATTCAGAAAACTTTCGTGTGATTGGATTTTTTAACTTTGTCACTCTCGGCTGGGACACAAGAATTTCAATACAGCTTTATTGATGGAAAACTGTACTAGAGGTATTTATAAGAGTAATACGCTCCTGAAAGAGTACATAAAAACACGTGTTATTTAGCACTATTTTTTAAACTCGTACACTTTGATATGTAATCGTGGAAATAATCATTTTATACCCTGCAGTTGAAGAATTTCCACAAACAAGATGTTTGTTGTTGCTCCCGTTATGCCAGAAACCTATTACAAAAACATAATTTTGAATGAGCCATTTTAAAAATCATGCAGCACATTTGTTCTAATAGTTACAGTATCTATTTTGGCAAACTCAAGCTTCAGTTTCGTGATTACTTCATTCGATCATTCGATAACTCGTCGGTTTACCCTCTTTTACTAACGGCTGGCTCCACGAGCTATCTAGATGAAGCAAATCCTGTTTTCTGATTGGCCATCTGAACAGGGTTGATGGGTCTGATCTTGCCCGTTTGGGATTTCCCAAATTGGTTCCGTAAGAAATAAGTCCTCCTGGCCATATAATTAATTCTTTTTTGACCATGCAATTGTTCGGTTAAGATGGCGGTTATATTGACCCCGACCTCGTCCTTGGTCCACACGAACGCAAAGATCTTGGCAAAAATTCAGCCATCTTGACCTCGCGCTTGGTCAATAAGGCTGCATACATCTAAATCGGTAAAACATACCACATGGCACATGCACCACAGGCATCCATACTATGTCAGTTACATATATTCTCGTTTTAAACCGACCAATAACTTTATCTTACCGTCTTACGTAACCCATGAAACAGAAAGAGCCATAAAATATGTGGTTACTGCTAACAACGTGCCTTTGTGAAGTTAATAAGAAGATTATAAAACAAAAACTCTTAAACAGACTATCCAAAACTGTTTTTAGCCGCAGTTAATTATATTTAGATGAACTGACCAACCGCCGGAGAAAAGGAACTTTAAAAAGCCCCGTGCAAACGGATGGAACATTGTTGTATGTTACATGTTGCGTCCGTTTGAACACCCTTTGAACGTTTTTGCATGTGGTTGCGTGTTGCAGTGAGTTGTTGCGCAAAGTCTGAAACCCCTCAAACGTTTAGGGCCAACAATGTTGGTAGTTGTTGCGTCTGTTTGCACGTAGCTTAAGGAATACCTTTCAACTTAGCTGTTTTCTGAGGCAGTCATTTAAAAACAAACTTCTGTTTATCTTTACAGGATTACAAATTTCCAAGAGACAGTGACCAGCTGATGATATCAACACAAAGATCTGGATAGCCAATATTTTTTTTCAGCTTTCTAAAGTATAAAGCCTCGTGCAAACGGACTCAACATTGTTGGCCAGCAACTCCCAACATTGTTAAATGTTACATATTGAGCCCGTTTGCACACCTTGTTTCATGTTACTGCTATTTGTTAGGAGTTGTTGCACAAATTTTAAAACTGGTCAAACTTTTAGCGATGCGCAAACGGACGCAACAACTCCCAACAACGTTGCGTCCGTTTGCACGGGGCTTAAGGCTTAACTGTTTGTTCAAAATGGATTGATGTAATACTTACTCTGATTGGTAATATATTTGTTGTAGGTTATTGAGCTAGGGTGTGGGGGTGAAGCAACGCATTTATTTCTCAGCTGACCAACAAAAAGTTGCATCCCGACCAAGGCAAAAATACAGAGAAAAAATAGTGTTAGAACCAAGACATCTGAAAGCATCAGCATGGACTTGAGCAAGGCGTTTACCATCGTCTTTAAACCTAAAAGAAATAAGACGTGTTAAAGAGCTGCGTCATTGCGTCATTTATGTAAGGGACCGTGGTACGTGGTGTTATACAGCGAAATCGGATTCAGTTTTAGCTAAACATCGTAATGATAAAACAATTATTAGTAGTGCATTTGATAGCCTACGAGAAAATCCGGTTTTTTCGGCTCAAGTTTCTAGTTTAACCCGCCGAGTGAAACCAGAAACTTAAGCCCAAAAAACTGGATGCTCTCGCAGGCTATGCATTTAAGGAATCCGGATTTTATGTAACTTTAGTAAAACGTCTCTTAAGGGAAACCCTGAAAACCTCTGAAACATCAGCGATTGGCTACGATCTTTAGTTCGATATTCGATTGCTGACAGGATCAATGTTCAGAGCCTAAAAAACAACTGAGGACGGACGGTAGGTACTTCTTTGATGTGCAACTTTTCATTGGACTATATAAATGGCCATCTACTCTCCACAAGCAAAAGAGCATTCTTAGCAATAGACCTCTTAATCTTTTTGTGTTTTGCCCCAGATGTAGGTCATGTGGTATTACTCTGGAGAATTTTTTTTCTTTCAAATATCTTTACATTCCATTGTTCATAATTTACATTATAAATAATTTATTATCATAAAGAGTTTTGTTGGTGTGTTAGTTATATTTATTGTTAATTTAATGTTATCTATTTACATATTTGTTTATTAATTTACCTACTTACTCACACGCAGTTTATTTTGCTTCTTGTGTCCGCGAAATTAACTTATAGATGACAACGAATGTTAGCCAATAGTCCATTTACAGATGGAAACGAGGCTGGAGTTGACTTGTTTGATACAACCTTTAAGGCTTTCTTATGTAAATCATGTTGTTTTCTTGCTGACTAGGTTTTTTTCAATAATTATTTCCATTAGATAAGGAAGGAAGCTTTTATCAAAACAAAGTCAACCGCAGCCTCACATTCACTCGAAGCAGTAATCGGCTCCTGACTCGAAGGCTAGGGTACTAAGCCCACAACCTTCCCTAGCTTGGCCCACAACCGCAAAATGGTCTAGTTTGAAAACAGGTTTAATGTGACTTCTCTTTAACTCAGTGGGTTTTCGTTGACAAGCCTCCACATTTCTCAACTCTTTATAAGTTTGTTTTTTGGAAATAAAGAAAATTGAAAGATAAAAGACTTTTTCAGTTCTTACCTTCTACAGTGGATATGGTCCTAAGTGCTCGAAGAACTCTAAACGTTCGAATTCCTGACAAATTGTAAACATTAGAAAGGTTAATGAATTAGGTAGATGAAAAGATGAAAAGCCTTAGGTCTACTCATTCAATTGCTGAAAATATCCATTACAGGGAAGGTTAAACTTCGTTGACGGCAGCTAAGACCTTTACAATCGCAGTTGCAAGTGAAGGCCGGTCTAAGCTGTGTAAGCCGATTCAGAAAACTTTCGTGTGATTGGATTTTTTAACTTTGTCACTCTCGGCTGGGACACAAGAATTTCAATACAGCTTTATTGATGGAAAACTGTACTAGAGGTATTTATAAGAGTAATACGCTCCTGAAAGAGTACATAAAAACACGTGTTATTTAGCACTATTTTTTAAACTCGTACACTTTGATATGTAATCGTGGAAATAATCATTTTATACCCTGCAGTTGAAGAATTTCCACAAACAAGATGTTTGTTGTTGCTCCCGTTATGCCAGAAACCTATTACAAAAACATAATTTTGAATGAGCCATTTTAAAAATCATGCAGCACATTTGTTCTAATAGTTACAGTATCTATTTTGGCAAACTCAAGCTTCAGTTTCGTGATTACTTCATTCGATCATTCGATAACTCGTCGGTTTACCCTCTTTTACTAACGGCTGGCTCCACGAGCTATCTAGATGAAGCAAATCCTGTTTTCTGATTGGCCATCTGAACAGGGTTGATGGGTCTGATCTTGCCCGTTTGGGATTTCCCAAATTGGTTCCGTAAGAAATAAGTCCTCCTGGCCATATAATTAATTCTTTTTTGACCATGCAATTGTTCGGTTAAGATGGCGGTTATATTGACCCCGACCTCGTCCTTGGTCCACACGAACGCAAATAAAGAACTTGGCAAAAATTCAGCCATCTTGACCTCGCGCTTGGTCAAGAAGGCTGCATACATCTAAATCGGTAAAACATACCACATGGCACATGTACCACAGGCATCCATACTATGTCAGGTACATATATTCTCGTTTTAAACCGACCAATAACTTTATCTTACCGTCTTACGTAACCCATGAAACAGAAAGAGCCATAAAATATGTGGTTACTGCTAACAACGTGCCTTTGTGAAGTTAATAAGAAGATTACAAAACAAAAACTCTTAAACAGACTATCCAAAATTGTTTTTAGCTGCAGTTAATTATATTTAGATGAACTGACCAACCGCCGGAGAAAAGGAACTTTAAAAAGCCCCGTGCAAACGGATGGAACATTGTTGTATGTTACATGTTGCGTCCGTTTGCACACCCTTTGAATGTTGTTGCATGTGGTTGCGTGTTGCTGTGAGTTGTTGCGCAAAGTCTGAAACCGCTCAAACGTTTAGGGCCAACAATGTTGGTAGTTGTTGCGTCTGTTTGCACGTAGCTTAAGGAATACCTTTCAACTTAGCTGTTATACGTACGTGTTTTCTGAGGCAGTCATTTGAAAACAAACTTCTGTTTATCTTTACAGGATTACAAATTTCCAAGAGANTACATATATTCTCGTTTTAAACCGACCAATAACTTTATCTTACCGTCTTACGTAACCCATGAAACAGAAAGAGCCATAAAATATGTGGTTACTGCTAACAACGTGCCTTTGTGAAGTTAATAAGAAGATTACAAAACAAAAACTCTTAAACAGACTATCCAAAATTGTTTTTAGCTGCAGTTAATTATATTTAGATGAACTGACCAACCGCCGGAGAAAAGGAACTTTAAAAAGCCCCGTGCAAACGGATGGAACATTGTTGTATGTTACATGTTGCGTCCGTTTGCACACCCTTTGAATGTTGTTGCATGTGGTTGCGTGTTGCTGTGAGTTGTTGCGCAAAGTCTGAAACCGCTCAAACGTTTAGGGCCAACAATGTTGGTAGTTGTTGCGTCTGTTTGCACGTAGCTTAAGGAATACCTTTCAACTTAGCTGTTATACGTACGTGTTTTCTGAGGCAGTCATTTGAAAACAAACTTCTGTTTATCTTTACAGGATTACAAATTTCCAAGAGACCATGACCAGCTGATGATATCAACACAAAGATTTGGATAGCCAATATTTTTTTTCAGCTTTCTAAAGTATAAAGCCTCGTGCAAACGGACTCAACATTGTTGGCCACCAACTCCCAACATTGTTAAATGTTACATATTGAGCCCGTTTGCACACCTTGTTTCATGTTGTTGCTATTTGTTAGGAGTTGTTGCACAAATTTAAAACACTGGTCAAACTTTTAGCTATGCGCAAACGGACGCAACAACTCCCAACAACGTTGCGTCCGTTTGCACGGGGCTTAAGGCTTAACTGTTTGTTCAAAATTGATTGATGTAATACTTACTCTGATTGGTAATATATTTGTTGTAGGTTATTGAGCTAGGGTGTGGGGGTGAAGCAACGCATTTATTTCTCAGTTGACCAACAAAAAGTTGCATCCCGACCAAGGCAAAAATACAGAGAAAGAATAGTGTTAGAATCAAGACATCTGAAAGCATCAGCATGGACTTGAGCAAGGCGTTTACCATCGTCTTTAAACCTAAAAGAAATAAGACGTGTTAAAGAGCTGCGTCATTGCGTCATTGGTTTATGTAAGGGACTGTGGTACGTGGTGTTATACAGTGAAATCGGATTCAGTTTTAGCTAAACATCGTAATGATAAAACAATTATTAGTATTGCATTTGACAGCCTGCGAGAAAATCCGGTTTTTTCGGTTCAAGTTTCTAGTTTAACACGCCGAGCGAAACTAGAAACTTAAGCCGAAAAAACTGGATGCTCTCGCAGGCTATGCATTTAAGGAATCCGGATTTTATGTAACTTTAGTAAAATGTCTCTTAAGGGAAACCCTTAAAACCACTGAAACATCAGCGATTGGCTACGATCTTTAGTTCGATATTGGATTGCTGACAGGACCAATGCTCAGAGCCTAAAAAACAACTAAGGATGAACGATAGGTACTCCTTTGATGTGCAACTTTTCATTGGACTATATAAATGGCCATCTACTCTCCAGAAGCAAAACAGCATCCTTAGCAATAGACCTCTTAATCTTTTTATGTTTTGCCCCTAGGTCATGTAGTATTACTCTGGAGAAATTTTTTTCTTTCAAATATCTTTACATTCCATTGTTCATAATTTACATTATGAATTATTTATTATCATAAAGAGTTTTGTTGGTGTGTTAGTTATATTTATTGTTAATTTAATGTTATCTATTTACATATTTGTTTATTAATTTATCTACTTACTCACCCGCAGTTTATTTTGCTTCTTGTTTCCACGAAATTAACTTATAGATGACAACGAATGTTAGCCAATAGTTCATTTACAGATGGAAACGAGGCTGGTTGTTAATTAATTATTTCCATTAGATAAGGAAGGAAGCTTTTATCAAAACAAAGTCAACCGCAGCCTCACGTTCACTCGAAGCAGTAATCGGCTCCTGACTGGAAGGCTAGGGTACTAAGCCCACAACCTTCCCTAGCTTGGCCCACAATCGCAAAATGGTCTAATTTGAAAACAGGTTTGATGTGACTTCTCTTTAAGTCAGTGGGTTTTCGTTGACAAGCCTCCACATTTCTCAACTCTTTATAAGTTTGTTTTTTGGAAGTAAAGAAAATTGAAAGATAAAAGACTTTTTCAGTTCTTACCTTCTACAGTGGATATGGTCCTAAGTGCTCGAAGAACTCTAAACGTTCGAATTCCTGACAAATTGTAAACATTTGGTATAAGAGTTATATATCTGTAAAGAGAAAAGACAAAATTAGTTACTTGAAAGAAAACATCGTGAAAATTCTCGACATAAGTTTGTTAAAACTGTGAGCATTTCTCTGAAACGCACAGCTATTTTTTTTAGCAAAAACTACGTAAGTATTATTTTTCTGCTTTTTGCCGCGACACAAAGAAAGCTGTTTAAAATTAGTTGATCTAATTTTCCCAAGTTGCAATCCATTTCCCCCTCGTCATATCTCGGGCCGTCAACATCTTGGTAATAGGGACCTTACGATCCGACAACGGCGACGTCTATGAAAACGTCGCTGATAAATAGGTTTCGCATCCTTTCTCCTTTTTTTGGCAATTATCCCTAGTGGCTCAAGTTACTTAAAAGAAGGGAATTTGGCTTAGAGCTGAAGAGAAGAGGCCGAGCCCGAGTTCAAAAAGAGATGGCAGAATTTATCACCTTGCCGTTCCCGTTCCCAAGTAAACTTAAATTTTGGTCATTTCACGTCGTAGTTGTGCAGGGACGGCAAAGAAATGTCTAAAAAAGCGTGCTGCACGTGCAGAGTTGTTGTTTTGCTCATTGAACCTATTGCTTTTTGACATTTCCGTTGCCGTCGCCGTGGTGGTTTCGTATTAGTGACTTTAAGTTAGGACGTTTTTGAGAGACGTGCGTCAACCGGAAGCTGGCTTTTTGCATTTGTGTGCAGTGGCTTTGCCATAATTTCGGGCAAACCGTCTGTATAAGAATAAACTCACTTAACAACGCAAATTTGGTGGCGTTAAAGCATAATACAAAGAAAAAGGTCTCACTGTCGGTTGCGTCGCTGAAAAACGTTTTTGCTTTAGCTCCGTAATCATCTTCTGGCGACATTTACTGATGCCTGCACCGGAGAAGCAACGGATGTCACTCAAACATAAAAACCACTTTACCAAAAGCTAAAGAAATGAGTGTTTAGTTCGTGTATTCCCAAAATTAAAACTATGCCATTTTTGCTAACTGCATGCTTTTCTACAACAATGCCCACCCACGAAATGTCAGTGCATTAAATAAAACAAAACTAAAGCACTTACCCAAGAATTACAACAACAAAATCTAACCAGTTCCATGGATCTCTCAGATAGGCGTATTTGTGCATGCAGAATCCTTTTGCTATAATCTTTAAAATCATTTCAACAGTGTAGATTGCCGCGAATATGTACCTATGGTAGACAAGATGTGAGTTAATCAAGCTTTAGCTGCTTCCATGACGTCGCACTCGTTGTATTCTTTAGCCGTTTGGGAAACGCGGACAACGAAATGGCTAAAAGGGCTAGCGCCCAAAGCAAGAACTAAATAACCGACGCACTCAGCCCCACTTTACCTTATAGTTATAGTAGTTAAAACAAATTCGTTAAAAACAGCCTCGCCCTCTAATCAATTAAAGTANCATAAAAACCACTTTACCAAAAGCTAAAGAAATGAGTGTTTAGTTCGTGTATTCCCAAAATTAAAACTATGCCATTTTTGCTAACTGCATGCTTTTCTACAACAATGCCCACCCACGAAATGTCAGTGCATTAAATAAAACAAAACTAAAGCACTTACCCAAGAATTACAACAACAAAATCTAACCAGTTCCATGGATCTCTCAGATAGGCGTATTTGTGCATGCAGAATCCTTTTGCTATAATCTTTAAAATCATTTCAACAGTGTAGATTGCCGCGAATATGTACCTATGGTAGACAAAATGTGAGTTAATCAAGCTTTAGCTGCTTCCATGACGTCGCACTCGTTGTATTCTTTAGCCGTTTGGGAAACGCGGACAACGAAATGGCTAAAAGGGCTAGCGCCCAAAGCAAGAACTAAATAACCGACGCACTCAGCCCCACTTTACCTTATAGTTATAGTAGTTAAAACAAATTCGTTAAAAACAGCCTCGCCCTCTAATCAATTAAAGTATTTTTACAAATAACGGAGCTAATTAGCTGAACTACTTTAATTTGCCGCGCTTGGTTTTGATCAGCCGTTATTTGTTTGCACGGTTTTTCCTTCTTGGGTTCCAAATATTACTTCTGATTGGTTTATTTAGTTAGATTGGCTGTCACCCGCTAGGTTTGGGCTTTTTTATTATAAGAATGAACGTTTTTGTAGAAGGATGAACTTACTCTGGTTCCTCTGGAGCATTCTTTATGGCAAGAAAAATACAATTCACAATTATAGTTAGAAGGATAAAAAATTCAAAAAATCTGTAGGCAAGTTGAGGAAATACAAAAGAATACAAAATCAACGCATAATTATTTAACATAACAGCCAAAGGTGATTGAAGAAGTGGTTAAAAGTGTGTATAGGTAGGTACATTGTAAATAGAAAAACGTACAGTTCATAATGTCTCAAATAAACGATTAAGACCGATAACGTAGGTCCCTAACCACTTTTAAATGCCTCAAAACACACTCGGTATTGTCACCTCGTAAAGATTGTGGAACTTGAGAGTCTTCAATGATCCTAAGAGCCTGGCTGGGATATCAGACCATATCAGTCTGGTTCAACCATGCATGATTGCCGGGTAACGGAGAAGAGTCCCGACTTCAGGTTGGGGGTTGGGCATGGCGCCAATCACCACCATCCCCATCAATTACTATAAAACTACTGGGGACTCGGCTAAAAAGGCCTGAGCAAAAGAAACAGAATCCAGGCTAGAGAATCCAACGGAGGAATGTAGGTTCAAAAAAATATTTGCTACTTTCTGGCTAGCTTAAGCCCCGGGAGGGGGGGGGGGGGTACTTCCTTATAAGAGGCTAATAGGGATGTGCCGCTTGATGGGCTCCCTTTTTCACAACTGGATTGACTAAAATGGATACGCATTTTCAATTAAGTTACTAGAATGTGGTCGCTCATTTTCTGATTTTGGGGGTAAGACAGTTCTTCATATTTACCGTTAGCAAACGCACATGTACAAGAATGTTTGTACCGTAGGTGAAAAGTAAAGTGTTCTTCATTCAGTATAATAAGGTAGATACATAAATATCCCCCCCCCCCGCCCCTCCTCTTCCCCCGAGGCTTAAGCAGGGCTTAAGCAGCAGCTTTTGGAATTAATTAAAGGATACTGATTTGTGATAAGAATAATTATTGCTCTCCTCACTGAATTGAGCGGCCCAAATAAATACAACGATTTCTCCTTGCTAAATCTAAACACGTATTGCCTACCAAGGCGGCTGGCAACAATCAAAAATGTCTGAAAAAGAAAGGAAATGAACAACACTTGTTAAGAAGCTATACCGAGAAAAGAGGCTTCGCCTTTGAAAACAATAGGGCCATTTATACGAGGAAAAATAAGACGTGTCTTACATAAGACGCGTCTTAAATAAGACGCGAACTTTCCGTATAAACGGCACATTTTGTCTAAAATAAGACGCGGCTTCGCTAAGACGCGTCTTATTAGATAAGACATGCTCGTATAAATGGTACAGTTCGCGTCTTATTTAAGACGCGTCTTATTTTTCCTCGTATAAATGGCCCCATTATGTAACACACAGCCTCACCACATACATTATAACACAAAACCTCGTTATCTCTCTTCTAAATATCCTCCTGTCAAAGGCAAACCGGTTAGAACTACTAATTGCCCGCTGAAAGTAACGAGCAGTTATTTCAAAACCCACCAATGATACGAGAAACAACTATGTCAAATGGGAGTGCAAACGTACTAAAGAGGTTTAGGACCTGGGTCAAATGGGTGTTTAGCAAATATGACTGTTTCACAATAGATCTCTCTAGATAACTAGAAAAAGATGAAATGTTCCCCAGATGTGTCAAGTGGTCAAAAAATAAAAATGAAGGAAATCGGCGAATTGATAGCAAATTTGCTTTGCATTGTTAAATGAATTAGGGTTTACGATAGAGGAAAAAATTTGTCTTTCTACGTTTGGAATGAATGTAACCAAAGTTTAAAATAAAAGTTTTGAATTATTTAATCGGACTGAATTTGAGCCTTAGAAATGAATTGATTTGCAACGGACGGTCAATCCAAAAGTGAAGCGTTGAAACTGATTTGACTCGCAAAAATATTATTACTTGACTTCTTTTCTTAAACGCTTCACCAAACTAAAACTTGTCTTAAACTTGTCAGTTATTTACGATTTTAAGTAAAGTGGTCACATGACGTATCACTTGACTAACTGAAGCGATAGTTGTACTTTACATGTAAAATGCTAAGTTAAGGTTTTTTGTACCAATTCTCTTTGACGAATTTTAAAGCCAAAAATCATTTTTTCAGAGGTAAACCTTTCAGACCCAGGCCTCAAACTATTTGAGTAGTGGCGAACCTGCACTGCCCAAGCAATTTAAAGATAAAGAAGCGCATGAGAAATTGTTTCGTAGTGATGGGGCTATGGTATGTTTTTGATTTTGAGAGATTAAAAGGGAAAAGGGCTGCAGTACTGTTATTCAAAACGCGCTGCATACTGGTTGTTCGCAAATACAAGCCATTAAATTGAATAGAGTACTTTTGGCAAATAGGAGGGTTGTAATTAAAAGTTTCTATAGCTCGTTTGTCGTCTAAATGTCAGTCATATTTTGCAGCATAATCATGATCTTCAGTTAGCTGTGTTTTCTTCCACTTACTAGCAGCTCGGAAAAGGGTTTGTTTATTAATTTCAGAAACACACTGAGAATACACAAGCAAGGTAGCAAGTGCAAATCAGTAGTACAAGGTGTTAATTAGAGGCACTTTAAAGCGAGACAAATTGACATTGCAAATTAAGTCCTCTTCAATCTGAACCTTTATAATCTGGACATGTAGTCGGAGAAGGCCTCTTATAGTATTCGCTGTACGATCTCTACCGAGCGATTAGGTTGTAGATTAATTTAATAAATTTAACGAGTTTAAGCACATTCAGAAAGATTGTATCAGGTAACGGAAGGGACGAAATGCGGATTTTATCAGATTAATTCTGATTGATTAGAATGACTTGATCTCTGTGTCTCCAAGACGTGTAATGTTTATTTAATCAATCGATGCTGTGGCCGACGAGAACTTGAAAAACAATTTGACCAATACGCTGGCGCACGCTGTGCTTGCACCGCATCTATATTGGATAGTGACAAAAAAATGACAGATTTGACTTACTGTGCGTAGTTTACGCAAAAAAAAAGCTATTTGTCGGACGATATTATCTCAACAATGGAATCTCGTTCGTTTCACTCACATAATGTTTTATGAAATACAATAGTATCAAATTTTAAAAAGAGTTGACAAATAATTATTCGCGCAAAAAAATACAAAGAAAACACAGCAAGAAAAAAGATACATATGTAAACAGCCTAAATGATCTTTTTCAAATTTAAGTGGCCAAAGCCAACAGCAAATGCGTTTGTTCATTTAATTTATTTACATCATAACCTTATTCATTCTATCACTTATTTTCCGGTTCATAATGGAAAAGTCTGAAGAGTGAACGTACAAAAACTATACTGACACAACTGAGAAAATATTATGTCAAATTCCATTTTTGATGAAAGGAATTGAATAATGAGGCTCTTTATAATTATGAGAGGAAGGGATAATCTCTTCAGTGCATCTTCCATAAATATTTTAAGATTTACGGCACTATTTCATTTGCATCTGAATAACTCCTGGTTCAACTGATTGTGAATCTGTCTAATTGTTTTATCTCAATGTAGTCCAAGTTCGACACGACTTGTGTAACTTTCAACTGTAGCAGACAATATTCTCAACTGTGCATTTTAAATGAAGGGTTTTTAGAAGTATTGGAAAAATAAGGCAAAACTGTATGAATTTGTCTTTTCATAATGAATTCCGCGGTCTGGCACAGCCGGCTTAAATATTTCAATTGCATTTAACGAAAATCTTCCTTAACAACGCTAAACAGTTACTTTGGCACTAAATATGAAACTAATAAATATCTTACAAGGTTTGGTCTTGCTTATTTTAAAAAAACGTTTTTTTCCTCATTTATGTGCGTTGAATGCGAAAAAAAGAATTTTGCCGGCAGGATTTACCACGGGAAAGAGGCCTGCTTTTTCATTAGTCAAATACTGACTCACAAGGATCATAGATCTCATCACGAACTGATGAACTTTTTCTTTACATTGGTTTAAAACAAGTAACATTACGTAATAAAATCACTGGGAAGAAGTAAGTTCAGGGTTTCATCTCCTCAGTAAAAATTATGGAAATAAAACTCGCCGCGACAAATAACATTCAGATACATTCACTTACATAAGTGATTCAAGCGGATTTTTTTCAGTTTTAAATCAATTTTCGTCCAAAACTGTTTGTTTTCTAACTAACAATAAAAGTCTACCTTACATTTATTTATTTTCCATTTCTATTTGGACCTGAACATGGTTTTAAAAACTACATTGAAAATAGATTTTGTATGAACCAGAAAACAGCTTTTCTGTATATAACCAAAATAAATTTACTTTCGTTCACTGGTTTATAAAATTCTCTAATTTCCAATAAAACCATAGAATTACCACCAACAATTTCGACGCAAGGTGGAATATCGCATCACATTGCCGTAAAGTTATATACATTTTTTGGAAAATCTGAGGTCAAAAATTGATGAGATCGACAACATCGATTTTTCCACCAGTTACCTTTTATAAGTAATACAAAGGAGGGGAATGAATAATAACGTATTCAAGACATATTTGTATGAAGGCCTCGGTCGATTCAGCCGCAAGATTTTCTGCCTTGTTAGATTTCCTCATAGTTAACCTTCTGGAAAGCCGGAAGAAATTCAACTTAAATTTCACGTAAGATCAATATTTAGCGAAATTATTTGACTTACATTTGTTTGCGGGGAATCGAAATCCTCCAGCGGTTGTCCAAGATATTCTCCTGATATCGGCACGAAGTTGTGGCATGTTTGAGTTTCACTTAAACTTGAATTCAGGGAAATTCCATTTATAGACGTTCCTGATGAGCTATGATTAATATTCCTTTTGCTTGCGTTAGTGCTTAGATTTGAAGTCTTCGGCGCTATTCTAAAACTTGCGCTCGATTTCATGGTTGCGGTTAAGCCGAAATTGCATTTTTAAAATGCTTCATCAAGATCTGAATGTGACCTCCGAGTTTTGTCCTGTTGAGTCCCTGATGGCTAATACAATCCTAAAATTAATAATATTTTCCTGCTCCACAGCACTGAAACAAACAAATTAAAAGCCCGCCTCATGGTAAGACTGTCGTACCAAGTTGTTAAAACTATATTGCAGTCCGATTACCCACTTATTTTCTCATGGACGAGGAGACAAACATATTAATATACCAAACACCGACAAATCTGTTATCTCACTCCTCTGTCTTTTTTTCCCTAGGTTAAGCGACTTTCATACATGGTACAACTTTATGGTCCGTAAACGAAGACTCTTCGGTGTAAAGTTTTATGACGTAGAAGGTTCTTATCACCATGGAAACCATTGTAGACGTCGCACCTGCCGCGATAGTAAAAGGTGCTGAAGGTTTCGCGTATTGGACTCCAGTTGAATTAATTTCACGCACATAAATAGATTAAGGCTGGAATTTTAAGCAGGCTCCCAAACTGGTAGAAGCATTTAAAGGCCTTTTTCAACAAATCTAATGAAAAAGAAGATCGCATTAACCCATTTTAAAGTTAAGGAAGATTGCCTAACGAGTGCGCGTGCCGTCAATCGATTCGAAAACCATTAGAAAACCTGTTAATGAAATCGACAGTTTGCGGCCAACTCGGTCGTATTATAGAACCAAACCGATTGTGTGGTTTATGTTGATAAAAGCTGACCCGTTGCAATGAAAATGGTCGTCATTTTTTTTGTCACTTTAGGCGGGAAAGCGATTATATTTAGCCTCTCCAATAATAAACTTGACATTCTTTTCCGCAAAATTTTGTTGCCCAGGTGAACTCTAGAACACCGTAAAACCAGGTATCTGGTTTAAGAAAAAGAAAAAAAGACACAAGGGTGGTGTCATCCCAATGACAAAATAAAGTTTCAATGAGAAAATCTATACTTAGCGATCGCATCTTCAGTTTCCCGAGAAAAGGATGAAAATCGCAATGTAAATCGCAATTTAGTGGTGGGGTTCTTGAGTGAACCTAAAAAGAAGACTATGACAGGACTTTTTAAAGTATACCCTTATTTCAAACCTTCTGGTTACATTACGGTATTTGTTAAAGCATAACAAAAATTACCACACAATTTAGCATATTAGATCTCTTTAGCCTTATTTTATATATTTGTTGTTTACTTTTGATAGCTCGAAAAATTAACTGTTTTCGTGAGAAGAGCTCGTCCGTTTTAGTGTAATAGTACTCACTTTGTCTGATTTTTTTACTTTTAGTACTATAAGTCTGATTTGGTTGTTGACACTTGGGAAGAAGGATATACGTTTCGATATGTTCAAAACTCTTGAAATAAAGCAACTGTCAAGAAATTATCATAAAAGGGATGCAAAAGATATCAAAATTAAAGCCGCGGTGAAAAACCGGCGCAGCTGAAACGGCGTCATTAATAGACTCAGTCCGTGTGATATATTCCGCAACTCTTGCTTCTCAATTCAGTGTCTCATCTTTTCATTAGTATTACATTAAGTGTTAAAAAAGTTTTTTTTAATCTTGATCTATTTCTGTTACCGGCTTAGGGTCTATGGTGGGTGGTGACGGCCGGCGCGCGCCTGGGCGTCATAATCATGAATCATGCTTCAACCTTACTTCAACCTTGTTTTCCATATTTTTGTCCGAAATGTCATGATTGTCCCAAAGAGGCGATCCAAAAGACTACATGAAAATCAGAACTAATAACTCTTTCCTCGTAAACACAATTGACTTGGCTGAATCTGTGCCGAATTTCGTCTCCAGCCTTCTTATGTTCTTTGTAAGATCAATAAGAGGCGATGAGAAACAAATTGTACCAAAAACTAAACGACCGTTTCTTTGATATTTTCTTTTAAAAGAGCAACTGACACAAACTGCTCGTAAAAGTCGGCAGCTATGAAAACGCTGTTGGAAAGATATCTTATTTCCCTCAAAGGTTCAAGTTTATTTGTAGCTTGATAAATAGTTTTAAAAAGAGAATCAAAGAAGTGTCTCAGAAATCTCGACTATACTGCGACAACTGGGCCATTTTAAAGAAATGATGATTTCGTTTGAATTATAGGCCTTCTATTTGGGTTAGTTTAATTAATGCATAATATTAACTGGAAAGACTAACCCATTTTCACAGGCAATTAAGTTGAGTAACTTGGTCAGATCTAATGCTATAAAGTGAAAAACTGTCAAGTTTGCTTAACATTGATCAAATTTCAGTTTAGTTCTTGACGAAAGTGTTCGTTGTCGGACGTTTCAGGACTTTGGCTGGTTGTTGCTCAAACTAAAAATCCGTACAGTTTGACAAAAGATTTTTTTCACATGAAACAGTTATTTTCAAGTCAACACGATAATACCATCGATGTCGTTGATCTAGTATTTGTTGAAGTAGTAGTTGACCGAGTCCAAACGGGTTGGACGGTAAAGTTAAGAGCTAAAACCAGTTTTTTTTTAAAAAAAGTTAGGAAAACAAACACACTCTGTTATTTCAAGAGCTTAAAACACCTTTCAAAATTAAAATAAACATATGCACGCAGAAGACGCATTAATGCACGCAGCCGGCAGCTGATGTGAATCCTGATTATAACACAGACGTTGCTCGAATGTAACTAAACATTTACATGTTAATATAACACCACGCTTTCTAGATTTGAAACCCACTGCAGGCACGGTGGATAATTAAATAGCGGCAAACATGACCATTAAAGCTACGACTAAAATATTTTCAAAGACGAGGGGAACTTTAAAAGGCAATTCAAAATTGTGTTCAGAATGCGATCCTGCTATTTAATTTGAATTAAAACAAAAGGAAATGTAAACAGTATTCGGCTTCTCTTCAGTGCGTCAGTAAACGTTGCTTCTTCAGCGTGGCAGATTGTAGCTACTGTAGACATCTTAACGAACATTTTATGGATTCAAAAAGCCGTTCGATAAAGAAAAAAAAATCCCGTTACATAAAACAAACTTGATTTGTTAGCTGTCCTGAATTGAGCGCATTAAAATTTTGTACGAGCAAAGAATGACTTTAATATACGACTGGAGCTTACGTCGTCGGTAAAAAGCAGGGATAAAAAAGCGTTTGGTCGTATTTCATGTCTTCATATCCTAGGTTTGAACAACCCTTAAATTTGACAAAAATATATATAATTATGGATAAAGACACAACAACATTTTTACGTAAAAACTGCTGTGTCATGAAGAGAAAGGAAAGAGAAGTAGCCTGCTGCCATGGTAACCAGAAGACTAAACTTTTGTGTTCCTCGTTAAAAGCGCCTTACTAGATGGTTTCTAGCATTCACAGTAGTACCGAACATATAGTTTGCTGATACCCACTCATTATTTTGAGATCGAAAAGAGGATTTTTTACGAGTGCTTTCATGTAGCTTATAACGGTCCTAAGGAAAATCACCAAACCGAAACACTCGATTTCAATGTGAATATTCACGTGCTTAAGCTGAGTATTTGTACAAGGTTCTAACAGAACGAGATGTGAAAAGATGGCCTCGATTATATTGTAAATCGTTTTGTGTTTTGACATGGTAAAAATAATTGCTCTTACAATTATTGCTCCCAAGACTTCTCCATGAGTAGAAGCCGATATACACCAAATAATTCTAGGTAAAACAGACTGGATACACTGAGAAATTGATCACACACTAAAAAAGTAAGCAGCAACTTAAAAGCACAAAATTCTCACAAAACAGAAACAAAAGCTAGAAAAAAGATAAATGAACTTACTACTGACTAGCCCGTCGAGAAAAAGCCTTTTATTAGCTTGAAGCGGGCATATTTACGGAAAACAGTAAAACAATTAAGGCTGTCGGCTTTATGACGGAGGAAATGGCAAAGAATAAAACAGCTTGGTTTAATACAAAGCGCAGCAGCCAGCTTAAAGCTTTTTCTCCTAAACTCTAGCGTCGGAAGTTGAAGAAAACAAATGTTTAAGAAAAATAATATAAGATATCTTTGTTTTGCCTGCAGACTAAGGAAGAGGGGAAAATTAACAGCTGACCTGACATAATAGATATCAATGTTTGTGACTCAATTGGTCGCCACCTTACATGACAACAAGAAAGTTATAAAGCCAATATACCATGCGACAGAAAAAAAAATCGAATTTTATGTGCTAAACACGCTCATAGGCATGCCCACGATTATAGCCGATGTGGAAAAGTAAAGAAGCCAGATACGGAAGTTATTTACCTCGCATTTTGGCTCTTCTATTTGTTCTTCTGCTTGTTGAACTGTTGCTTCTGCTGTTGTGTTATCTACAGCGAACGCCGTGGCAGCCCTCAAAATGCCGGCAGCTCCGACCACCAAAGAAGAACTTTTAACTTTGGCCCCTTGCTTTGGTTCATGATTGTTATCTTGCGAAGAAGGTGCTCCTGTTGATTGATCAGAGTCTAGGCCATTTTCTCGCGAGTGTAAAGATTGAAGTGATATTGTAGGATAGAGAGAAGGCAACCTTACTGGCCTTCCACGCCGCGTATTCGTAACATCAGAAAGCTCTGAGTTTAATAGAGTTCTCGCTCGCTGGTTGTTAACCTGAGAAGCTCGTGCAACAGCCGCGCTGGATATAACTGGCGCAGCAAACCGTACCATTGTTAATATTGTAACCTACTGCGGTAGGCAGTACATATGTCAGTTAAACACTGTCTTCCTTTCGAATACATTGAAAATTATAGCGATTCTCTTAATACAAGTCTCTCAACCTCACAGAGGTTCTTCACAGTTATACCAGCGACCTTGGCCTGAAGATTCTCGGTTAGTTGTCCAAACTTGCTTGTAAAGCTAACAACTCATTTGCTCCCTAAAATTCACGACAGTCCTGCTAATTCACGTTCAATTATTAAAACTTTGAGGTCTACCATTGGTATAATGGCAGCCGAAAAGAAACGGCGTTTAAGTATCACGAAAAACCTTCGTAACCTTTAAATTTGCGGTGATTACTTGACTACGTGTTGTTCAAGACGGCCGCGCAACCGTTCGGTCGAGTTTACTAGGTTGTTTTCATATTTAATCTCCGATTCGGCTTTGACAATTTCCCAAGACAGCGCCGGGCAGGTGGCTTTGTGGGCTAGAGAATAAATTTATGTAAATGACAGTGTGCATTAACGGGTTGACTTCACAATGAGCCAAGTCATGCTGCTGTTATCTACTTCTATACAACACTGAGAAACTGAATTGCATTTTCCCGATTATTATCTTAAACGCCTTGCAATTAACCCAAACACAAAACAGAAAGTTATATTTTCGGTAAAAAGAACTTTTCTGGCTTTGTTGACATTTAAAAAACACTAGTTGGTCGGATGGCGCGCACCAGCCTGCCTTCTAAAAAAAAGTCGCAGGGTCTGTGGGAAATTTTAAAAGTTTTCCTTTGATGGAAACTAGAAAATAAATCATTTGTCGCTATGAACACAACTAGAATAATCGTGTGTTTCTTAGATCTTAAGGAGGTTTTCTTTACATCCCGATCCTCATGCCAAGTAAAGTAATGTTATTATTTAACTCTAACTAAAGGAACTCACAATTCAATGCGTAATGCCTGTATTCTACGACCTAAATTAGTTTTCTTCTACACCTTGCGGTCGTATGTGGCTTTGACTAATATCCTTATTAAACGAAAGACTATTCTTTGAGTTATACGACATAACTACGTTTTTTAACATTTTCCATTGTTAATAGAAACAGGAAGCAAAAAAGGCAGGATAACTGATAAATAAATATTCTGATGGTGAGTCAAAAAAGGAAAAGAAATATCCGTAGATTTAGCTATTCTAGGTAACTAATATACGAAACGTGTGACAAGAGTACACAAAGTACTAACTGTCGGCACAATATAGCAATTAAACTCTTGCTGCCAATTGGCTTAACGTTGACTATTCCAGTTCTATCTTTAATTCAGCATTTTATTTTAGCTCATGCTGCCGCGGCTTTTAACGACACATCACTGAAAGTTGTACATAAAAAAATCAACACATCTGCTAGTTACAACAACATTCTCGCCTTATCTAGTTTGTTACTTTTCTTTTTTTCATCAGTTTGATTTGATCGAGTGAGTTTGGCGCATGATTAAATGTTTTTAGCATAATTCATTGTTTCATTTTGTTTTGTCTACGAACTGAGTTATTTTCAGAGAATGTCCTCACAAAATGGTGAAAAATGAGTATACTTTACTGATCCAGCTCCATTGGAAGTCATAACACAATTTCTAAATTATGAATCTTCAATATTTCAAGTATCAACATACCAGATTTGCTGATTGCACTAGAATGTACATCATCTTAACGCCAAACGAAGTTCGTTAGCAACCCGAGTGTTTTTTTCTTTTGCGGAACGTAACAACAAATCGTTTCCAAGAAATTCAAGTAGGAATTTTTAACAAGCACACCGTCGAAAGTAAGTGAGGTATTTTGAAATTAAAACAGTCTGTAGAGGAAACAAGTTATGTATGTTTAATCAATGCATGCCTAGATTACGCACATCGAATTTTCACTGAAAGATATAAACTAACTTAATGAAATGCTTCATCATTCCCAACATGATGTCAGCTGACTGATGATTTCCCGCCAAGTCAGGACTGGATGACGAATAGACCTAAAGTTCAATCAATTCCTTTTCTCGACAACAACAGCTGATAACGAAATCACGTCATGAATTGTTGAAGTTACTGTTAGACAAAATCGTAAACTAAATAATGAGGTAGGCACCGTCCTCGTTTCTCGCATCTCGCGGCTTCGCAGCTCTCGCTCGAGCGCGCGTGCACTCCCCTCACTAAATCTGAATAAGAAGAGAGACTGCTCGCGGTCTACGGGAAAAGAGAAAAGGAGAGCGTGTAAGACACCTCAGTCCGCCCACTACCTCGACACTTCTATGAAACTGTTTGTCTTGTTAAAATGACATCAAAATGTGCGGTGTGGGAAGATTTCACAGGCTCACCATGTTTGTTTGACTATGGGCATGTGTACGTGTTGACTTAAACCGTCAAAATTGACCAATCATAGGGTATACCAGGAGCCGATAAACCGGATAACAGATATATTAGAAACTTATTACAGAAGAAGGCAATGTATCAAACTAGCTGACCTTTCAACTTTTATCTGTGCTCAGCAAAGTCGACTTCTAATTTCGACGGCTTGATAGAGCTCTATCAAATAAGAATCTTTTGATATAAACAGTTTTAACTTGATCGTTTCTTCTACCAAAAAAGTGCATCTTTTTAGCCCTAAATAGCACTGACGCTTTTAAATTGTTAAAAGTAAATTAAGTTTAATAGCTTTTCACTCCCACAAATTCCGTTAAAAAGCATGATATCATCAGCACGCGAATGGTGTTATAATTGCATTACACCGTATTTCCTTATTATCAAATGAACACCGACAGCCTCTTTTACTCACTAATAGGCTGTCTTTAGCAACAGAACGGGAACGTCAGTTCTTGACGACGGAAAAGCTCGCAGAAAGGCTAAACGCGATTTCCGGGGCCCAGTTTGCCGCTCTGCCATTGGTTGAGCCAGTTGTTTGATGAGCGCGCGCCGTCGTCAGCTGAAGTTCCCGTCTCAACGTTGGCCTATTTTTCGGTACAGCTCTAGGGTATAAACACAGCTTTTTCCTGCAGATACTCCCCAAAAAGAAGATAACATCCATCGATCAATATGTTTTGCGTCTTCCTTCCTTTCCTTCCGCTATATTTCGTCTTCGGACTAGCCGCGAACACCATTTTTGTGAAAAAAAAAAAAAAACAGCTAGGCCGCCGTTTCTGGAAACGACGTTGATCGATGCTCTGAGCCTTGTTCTTTCTTTAATGCTCTTCGCGCGGACGGCTTCAAATTTTAACATATCTTACTGTCCCTCAAGTATGGTTGATAAAAATGTGTAGTATATCGTAAAAAGTTCTGTTTTGTTAAAAAGATAGACATATCACTGCAATTTTCAAAAGCATGGTAGCGTCAAAAGTTATAATCTTGGCATTTTGTGTGACACAACTTNAATTTTAACATATCTTACTGTCCCTCAAGTATGGTTGATAAAAATGTGTAGTATATCGTAAAAAGTTCTGTTTTGTTAAAAAGATAGACATATCACTGCAATTTTCAAAAGCATGGTAGCGTCAAAAGTTATAATCTTGGCATTTTGTGTGACACAACTTGAAAAGACTGAAAACAATGATCATAGGAGCGAAAGAAACGTATTAGGTTTTTTCTATATTACAAATGTGTCAGATGTCAGTGAACCGGACAAAATCTTTTGCCATTGTGCGAATTGTTCATATTGAGCAACTCCTAGGGGTTTTAGGGAACACGGGAACAGGGGATATTGTCAATATATTTTCAGGGAACAGGGAGCTTCGGATGAGATTGTTGGGATAAAGGGAATAGTGGTCAACACTAACTGAATCTACTTTTAGGGACTTGTCAGAAATTAGCAGGGGGGGTGGAAACAGAGGGAGGGTCATAACTTTTTGAGACTGCAGAAAAGGGAGGGGTCATGAAAAATGGACGGTTAAAAGGGGGAAGGTCATGCAAATATGTGTCCGTGATCATGTAGAGGACCACCCACAGGAGAAAAAAAAAGTTCTTTATTTTGTAAAAAGAAGCTGGGAGAAATAAGAGAGTTGAGTGACCAGCCGTCAGAATCAGAGTTGGACTCTTAATGCTGTCATCTAAAATGTATGTATATGGCATTACAAAGAACAGATTAGAAATATATTTTGAGCTTTCATAATACTAACTCACCCTATTTGTATTGCAAGAACTAGATTTTATCATTTATACAAGAGGGGGAGGGTCATCATATTTTAGGCCAAGGTCAAGGGGAGGGTTGGCAAATTTCACTCCCATTGCAGGGATGGGTCACCTCATTTCCGAACCCAAATTTAAAATTCCCACCCCCCCTTCCCCCCTACTAATTTCTGACAAGTCCTTTAATTATATTTTTTTAACTTTCCGAGCCTCTACAAGAAAATATAACGTCAATTTTTCGTAGATGGGTCACTGGTCTTTTTTCACATGACTGTCAGGAGATCATTATGTATTACGAGCCACGCAAGGTATCTTGGGAACGTTTGGTGCCTCAGCCGTGACACCAGGCCCTCAAGGAACCGCTTCATCTGTTGTCATGAAGATAAAATAAGGATCCTGAAGTCTCTGCGAGACATCAGGGACCTCCTAGACCGTTTTAATCCAAACCTTACCACCGAATTTAGTATCAAAAGTCTTTTAACGCTTGTTGTCGAAAACACGTTTTCAGAAATGAGAAGTGGTACCACTCCCATGCCTTTACAGCTTGAATTCGATTACAGATTCAGCAGGACAATTAAGGAACGGTTGAACTAAATAAAGAGGCAAGTTTTACACCATTTGCTTACTTCAAAGCTTCCAAATCCTACTACCCACAGGTTCACACCACAACACATTACATGGGTTTACCCAAGTTAGCCCCTCCGACTGAAAAGCACACAAACTATCTGAAAAGCAGGTAAATGAAATGAGAAACTGGAGAACAATGTATGGTCAGAACGTCCTCAGAAAACAGTACGAAACATGACAACAAAGGACAAGATCCAGGAACTCTGCCTATAAATCTTTAAGCAGCTGACTCTCCGACTGTGCAGCCTCTAGATTTCACTGTGCTGAGTGAAGCAGCAGCGACCCCTTTGCCACATTGGGAAACAACTGAGACTTTGCACAAACTAAGTCAGATTGTCTGTGTTAAAGCTCGCATTCCAGTGATTCTCCTCAACTGTCCGCTGAATTGTTCCTAATAGCCTGTCTGCAAGAGAATGTGAGTGTCGGCATGAAGAGAGTGAAAGCCAAAGTGTTCATTTTAAGATCTTTTCAATCCAGTGCTGTCTACGGAAGATGAGGAGAGACATTCTCCGATACGTGCAACATTGTTTGTGCCCTAACCAGCTATAACTACCGTGAAGATATCTTAGAGCTTGAAGAAGGTGATGTAATTCCTCTCCTTGATGTGCTTCAACATATCAATGAAGTTGTCACTATCGCAGAGGCAGCTGAGACAGTTGAGATGACAGAAACTGCAGCCGACGAAGAACAGCGTGAGCGGATTCCATGGAGAAGAAACAGGAGGTTTGAAAGCGATTTTTTTCTACCATGAATAGAAGGTAACACAAGCAAACAAATATGGGGAACAATGACAAACACTCTTGAGGATCAAGGGAACAGTACAAGAGTTTTTGGGATCAAGGGAAACTGAGCTTAAAACATTTTAGGGAACAAGTGGTGTTATTAATGGGAAACAAGGGATAAAATCAAAAAACATTAAGGGATCACGGGAACATGTACCTCCCCCCCCCGCCCCGCCCCCTGGTAGGGGCTCCATAATCGTGAAACTGAAAAGAGAGCGAAATTAAACGAGCGAGCTTTAATATACCCTTTTATAATAATCATATAATTTCACGCTTCAGCCTTGGAAAATCCGCGAAATTCGCGAACATTACAGATCCCAGGAAACACTTGGTCTTTGTGTCTACCGTGCACATGATAAAGATATTTTAATAATTATCCGTTTGCGAATGAAGGCATGCACCTCTATGCGTTTACAAACTAAGCGATAGTTTTCTTCATTATTTTCTTTATTTACTTCCTAGCCTCTCTTGCGCTCTTCGTCCGCTTCTTAGTCGCTTGGATAGCGCCTGGTCTGCAGGCTATACCCTAATCCCGTACCCATATCCCTTGTTTACGAAGCTGGAGGCGAGATCTGGTTAAGTAAGAAAATTCAATGTTTTTGATTGGCTAGATTGTGAGCTAATGACTTGAGTGTTGTCTTCTGTGCGCGTGCTATGGCGTGTGCAATTCATTCCTTGCAAAGTCTTCAGTTCTGTTCAAATATTTTCCATGAAGAACTAGTTTTCCGTCTAAATATTACTTCTAAAACCGTTTTTATCTCACCTTTAATAAAGACTTTTTAAAATTCTCTCTCGGTATCAAAATAAAGACCTTTGAAAAGGTTAAAATAAAATTATCGCTTAGAAGTTGACAAAAAAGAAAATTTTCTCTTTTGCTACATATCCCCCCCCCCCCCATGTTTTTACTTTTTTTGTCACTCCAGTTCAAATACATTGTCCAGCCCTGTATACTAATCGAGCTTTGTTACTTAATTCCTTTTTCAAAAGATCGATGAATCTCTTGCTGCCCTTCCGAGTGAAGTGAAGTGTGCATGACAATTTCATTCCTCCCCCATCCCATTTCCTTATTTCCTAACTTTCGGCTATTTTCTTCGAACTCCCGACGAGGAACTTGAACCTTTTTCGATGGCCCTAGAAGGTTCGAGTTATCGGGAGTCCGGTAGCAGCCCTCTTTCAATAAGCGCCCCTCCTTTTAGCCAGAATTGTAAATAAGCGCCTGGGCATTTATTCGAGGAAATATGGTACCGCTCTAAACTACAATGGCCACTAACGGTAAATATAAGATGAAAAATGAAAGAAGAAGAAAACCTTCTTTACAAGGGGGTCATGTGTAAAACTGGATTAATAACGCTATTGAATTATTTTTAAAAAAAGCATGAATCGTTACCGAAAGTGAGGGTTTTTTTAGTTCCCTTTAAATTCGGTAAAGATGTCGACTGTCTGACCTCCGAAGGAAAGCTGTTGTACAGCTCACGTCAGCTTCATATAACAAAGGCTTCTTTTATAAAACTCATCGCGGTTGCATCATTATTGCTTGACTAACTAAGCGTTAATAAGGTCAAGTTTCGTGGACTAGTTCAATCTTTGAAACAGTTCACTAGTACTGTACTCATAAATAGGAGAAAGTTATAACGTGAGCAGAGCGATTCTGCAATTTGTACAATTTAGAAGATAGGTTCTTGGAACAGTTTCCCATGCATGTTACTTTACAGTAATCGAAGTGTGGCTGCACCAATGAATTGTACGCGTTAAGCAGAATCTCTAAAGCTGAAGGAGAAAATACCTAATACGTTTGATCGCACTAATACCAGAACCAATCTTTTCAGATCTTTCTTCATTAATATGACACTTCCAAGAAAGATTTTCATGGATGTGAATACCTAACGATTTTTATATAAGTCGAAACTTTTTTAATCGGGAGCTGATGAATTTTCAAGTGGGGTTCGTTTTGAGAGCTGACAGTCTTTGACTAGACCCACTTAATAAAATTACTCTCTTAGTCACGTTTAGTGTATCACAACAACGTTACACACGGACAACAGGAACAATAACTCTATATATAAGCTGTGTGTTTGCAGAAGAGGACGGCAGTTGACGCAAGGCTCCACAATCAGCGGCGGTTTTTCCTGATTCAATATGTCCAAATCTTGTTCATCAGGCATCTCAACTCTATCAGAACTAATCACTGTGCGCAGGTGTCTGCGATTTCTACGTACCACTCTGAAAGATGTTTGGATGACTTATGACCGGAGAGTAGGGCTTCTCGCAATGACTTTCCTAGAAACGTCTTCCATCCTTCCTGCCGATCTAACTTCACACGAACTGAGTCACCTGGCTGCCGTAACTATAGGTCAGGAATGGGTTGCACTCCATGTCTCTCGTCAAAGTACTGACGGTATACACACATTCATAATTCTGAAATGCCGATCATCATACTACGTGAAAATTGACTTTGAAGGACATCAACACGACACCGAAAGAACCCAAATCAGAGTGGAGTTGTAGCCGTCGACAGCTGTGCTTTTAATCAGCTGTTTTCTCAGTATCGGAGACTGATTGCACTCATGGTATGGCTTTTCACCCTTCTCATAATGCAAAATCATGGTTGTTTATCATTTGCATGGGCAAAACCGGTCGGTTCACGGTTGGGGTCGAATAATAAGAACTATTCAGAACTGGTAAATTTCGCCCAGGAATCGCGTTTACCATAGTGTACAAATCAGTTCCATTTATCGAAAAACGGCCGCGAAAACCTGAAACTGGTATTAATGTTGGCTTTTCATGCAGTTCTGCTTGAACCATTCTGTCCAGAAAAACAGGACAACCTTTTCAGATATTCCGTTGCTCTTGTTTCCGATAAAACGACCCAAAAAGTCGGGTCCATTTACTTACCAACATGATAATTTCCAGAAACTTTTTGCAATTGGTAAACTACTCATATCTCAGAAGTCGCAGTGGACGCCGACATGGCGAGGAGAAAATGAGCATTGTGGCTACAACTTTCTCAATTGTAAGGTCTTCAACTGTTTCCCTTACTGTGTCGTCTTAGTCCGCAAATGCAAGGCAACCGGTTTCAGTGCGGAATGAAAATAGTTAACCGGAGTGCGAAATTCTCGGCTCTTTTCAGTGCGCAACCACACACACACACAAAAAACAAACATTCAAAGACCGCACAAAATTCCTAGTTTTTAACCAACAGGATTCTAACATGTTATCAAAGTAAACAAAGGGGATCCCTACGATGTACCTAACAAGATGGCTCAGCGACAGATTCAGTCTAGACTAGGGAAACCGGGAACTGCCACTCAAAAATATGAAAAAATCAAATCGGCAAGTTTAAATTTACGCAACTCAGCCTAAAAGCTACTGTAGGATAGGGGAGGGGGGATTGGGGGAACTAGCTCTGGTATAGGCTAAGGATTTCGAGTCCCAGCGGCACATCCCCACCCAAAAATTCCTAAAGTACCTCGCCGGGACTAAAAGGAACACTTTGTCTCAAGCCGGCAGTTGGCTTTCACCAGCTGCTTTCATGCACGATCAGGTGCACATTGTCTTGGAACTGGCACATTGCTCTGTTTTTCAGTCAGCCAGTCACGCTTTCCTAAAATTAGTTAAATCGTCAAAAGAAAACCCGGGGGTGTTTTTTGACCGGGGCTAGCCTGCACAAGGGACGAGGGGGGACGAGGTTGTAGCCTGCATAGCAGTCGTTTCCGTTTCCTTTAATTTCGGCTAAGAGCACCTTTTTGCCTCGCGCGTCTTTCGTGCTTGCCCGCTTAGCCTAGCCTGTTCACAGAGCCTCTATTTTCTCTGTCCGTCAAGCGCACGTGATAAAAAATAAACCGCGGAGGATTCATTGACCGCCAGTGCAAGGGGGCAGGGAGGGGTTATATTTTTCTTTCTCGCGCTCTGCTCTCGCTATCGCTCGCTCGCCTCGCTCGCGCGTTTGTTTTTCGAAAGCTGATTTCCGAAAGAACGACAGTAAAAATAAAACAACGTCTGGGTACAGGCTATGCTTAGCCTAAACTGCTACGCTACAACGCTACGCAGGCTTCTCGGATGTTAAGCTCGGATGTCAGCTCGCACTTGGACTCAGACCTCTATATTCTTTTTCACAGTTTTTTCGAACATTTTAATTGGATACAAGAAATCAGCCAATCACGTACAGCGTAAGAAATTGCGTACGCCTGGTAGTTTCTGCTGGTGAAACTGCGATAATTTTTACCTAATTTTAATAACATGAGAAGGTGGTTTCTTTCCATTTTTGGAGCCAGAACTTTTAATGGAGCACGTTAATAATGACACGAATGAACAAGTAGAGGTAAGACGCTGTTTTTGTGCATGATTTATATGTTAAAGTCTAGATTTCGGAACAGTCCGGAAAGTCTGCAGCCCTAGCCTTGGATACGGTCTCTACTGTTACATATATGAACATAATAACCCGCGGTTAAGTAGACCTGGCTTCATGAAATTTGCAGATGCACGCAATGTATAACGCGAAAATTCGTTAATCTTTCACAAAATTATCCTTTGTGAACTGAGTATAGAAACAGGAGTCATTGTTAACTTCGTGCGAAAGTTTATTGCGATCATATCCTGAAAGAACACGATCTTATTTTCTGTTAATTAGTCATGGATTAATTTTGAAAGCGAACATCTTTCTATTGAAACTTTACAGATGATCATATTATGGCTGTTAGCCTTTGTCTGGTCTTGAGAAAAGATTTCTTTTAAGGATTTAAATTTGAAATTCGAAATGCAATAGTTTCGTGTGGGATTTTCAATGGTATCGAGCCTGATCACTTGTTTACATTACAGCGTTTGTATTTGCGTACGTCGAATTGTGACTCGCAAATATAACTTAGAAAAAATTGAACATTCTCATTATCATAGGTCACTGTTTTGTTCTTCGCCAAAAGCCGTGAGTTGGTGGAGAAGCCGTCAGCCCAAATATTTCTTCCTAAACTTCTAACTGGACGAGATCTGGTTGCTAATATAATCAATAGTTTTCCGAGGTAAGTTTTTAGCGATCGACCGTCAGCGTGGAATTAATCTCCTCGGTGACAATAGCAGGCCGCAAAATTATTAGGCGCTGTCAGTTTTAATCCTTTTTAAACAACTCTGTTCTCATCTAGCTTACAAAGTAGAGTCGGTCTTTTTCATTGTGGTTAGCTTATTTTACATGACTTATTGATCTTTGAACAAAAGTGACTTACGATCGATTAACCACACTTTATTATCAACATGTTGTGAAGTCTTTCAGACATTCAAGATAGTCTCGTGATCGCAGTAAACCAAAACTACATTGAACAAGATTCAGAAATTGGCTTCCAAGGGGGTGAAGAAGTCGCTGTTATTCCGCCGATAAGTGGCGGCTGAAATGAGAGAGGACAGGTACTGATATAAATTACTTAATTTTTTTACAACCGCGGGCCATATGAAAGTGTTTATGAAACTCTCAAATCAAGTAAAGGATATTGAACAGTAGAGTACCTTTATTCTGTATCTGTATTCTATATTCAAGTTAATTCTAGGTATTTTCCCTCTTTTCTTTTCTTCCTTTTTTAGATTTAGTTTAAAAATGTTGAAAATTATAAATTAAAGGAGGTTTTTTTTTTTTGGAATGTTGAAGATTAGAGACTTAGGGTTTTCAACTTTTTTGTAAAAATGCCTTTTAGCAATAACTGCTTTAAGATTCTAGTCTCCTGGGTGATACACTTTAAAGCCTTTGCATTCATCACCATTATCAACACAGTACGTTCTGATTAGCAATAATTATCTTTGATTCTAAGACATACTGCCATTGTTCAATTTCTTTTTTGTGACATTTGGCCTGAGGCTGAGCACTAATTTAGGGTGTTATCTTCTGCAGTACATTTGCTGCTCTACATATAGTGATCATATCAAAGCAATTAAATAGTAATGATATTTGACGCTTGTAAATGGATTTCCTAACCAGCATCGCACTTGTTTTGAAGAACGCTTTAGATATTTATGCCAAACTTTTACAGAAAATGATATCTTATATATTGTGCAGCTAAGGCACATAATCACAGCTGAAGACAACACTGTCAACAAACAAGATTACTGTTGTTTATCCTTCACAGCTATTGAATATAGCATTTGCAAACAGTACAGTATAAAAAAAATTAGTTCTATTTTCATTGCTTACTTAAAATGGGTTTTGAAACAAAATAAATAATAATATGGCCATTGTAAGACCATGCTTGATTCACAAACTCTAATTTCTGTGAGCTGTGAAGACTCCTTTTCATTGTCTTTTAAATTTTTTGCTATTGCATCATTAAATATTAGCCCAGGGGTGGATTCAGAAATTTTCATCAAAATAGTCAGAGCTTGTGCACACCATTGAAGTTAATCTTTATCCTTCCTAGCTATCAATAACAAATCAACCTCATCTTCCCATGGTCAGTACTCTTATTGACTTCACTGCAAAGTTTTGAACATTTTGGCGTCATTTCTTTGGTTGATGAGAGTTCACACCATAGAAAATTGTTGTTCATTTGTTTTTTTACAATAATATTGACAGTTTTGATGCCCAATTCCATTGACGTTTCTCAGAAAATTGCCCACAAAGAAAGAGGAAAACAAATTGCACCACCACTCTGTCATTTCCATGGTTGGTACTCTCTTATTAAACAGTAGCTCTCAACTAATCAGCACACAAGAAATCGCCCAGTTATTGCAAAAATGTAACTTTCCAGGAAGCCCCAATTATGTAGATCCTTACAATTCCATCAGTAGAAATAATTTCATTGTCACAGCAATTTCATAAACAAATTCTTTGCTCTCATGCATGCATTTAGGAGGTCTGGAACCCCTGGACCCTCCCTCTTGATGGCCACTGTAGCAGTATATATTTAACAATTATTCCTTGAGCCCGAATGGGCTCTGAGTCAATAGCCCATGAGGCTATATTGAGAGAGCTAGACTTTAATCCTTTTTTGTCGCCAAACAGGCAGCACTTTTTGCTATTAGTGGGCTATAATATATAGCCTAGTAGTAGCTCAACCAATCAGAACATAGCATTGATAATAGACTACCAGCTGGATTTTACTAAACAGCTTTTATACATGTGCTTTTTATTTTGGTTGTTTTGTCAAATTGTCACACTGAGAGTATGTATGTATAATCGTGGGTATGTACCGAGTTGTTTTTGAATAGGTAACAAAAGTGTAAATCAGCGTAAGTCAGTGAGTCAAAATCATGGACATGTACATGTAGCATGTCATTGATTTTTTTGGTCATTATTTCATGTTGGTTGACTGAAATTTTGAGTAAAATTATGATGTAAACCACCATCTGTGCTTATAAACCCACCTTGAAGGCTGCGGATATTTTTGTTATAAGAAATAACAAGGCAGTACAACAGCAGGACCTCTGTCTTTCGCTGCCTGACTCTGCAGCTCCTTTCCCCCCCTCCCCCATAAACTAACTGACTGATGTTTGTATCTGTCTTTGAATCAGTTACCAATGATCTGTGCAATAAAAACTTTGAATTCTTAAGAATTATTGTTTACACCACTCCTCCCTGGGAAAAAATCACCCCAGTTCTGAAAATTGTACATTTCAGTTTTAGTACATAGTAGCCAATGCTTTCTCTAAGGATTACTGAAAAAGTAGTTCTAGCCATGATAAGAACAAGCACAATAATAAAAAATATATATTATATAAGGGAAAGTAATGGGGAATTAAGGTGCCAAGATTTGGAGAGGGAAAAGGAATGATCTTAACGCATAATGAATGCAAAAAAGCAATTAAAAAGCAAATAACTCTTGGTGAGAATTATTCACTTTTTAAATTGTATACATGTATAATGCAACAGCATTAAGGAGTTAAGTAAAATATGCTGTTTATGCTAAAATGTGTTTGCAGTTATAATGGTAGTAATACTAATGATGATGATTATGATGATATAATTATTTGTTATAATAGTAAACCCTTTGAGATAAGGCTTCTGTCACTAAAAATGGTTTTCAACAGGGTTCATTAAAAATACTGGTGAATTAGATGAAATAAAATTGTAAAAGAATATGTTACTGCAATAAAAGTAACAAATGAGGCATGGGATTGTTCAATTCAAATGAAAGGAAAGTCCAATATCTAGCACATGAATATATCCCTTATTCTGGGAATTATACAGGATTGCAATTTATACAATTGCAATTTGTTACATTTTTTCTTTCAATTGAGATGCAGAGAAAAATACTAAACAATCATTTTATTTTTTTTAAGGTTTTCATATTGTGGTCAATTTATTTTGACTAATCGGTGATTTTATTTTTTATTTTAATGGTTGCACCCTAGCAATCAACAGAAAATATTTGTGGCTGTGGTTCACATACAAATTATTTCATGATATGTCAAATAGGTTTAAAGTAAATAGTCAGACAGACACATGCAGAAGTTTCAGCTGTGTTTTTTTTTGTGATATTGTACACTTGTCAAAACCATTGCGTACTTGCTGGATTCTTTTCATGAAAATTAATGACTTTTTGTCACATTGTTCAGTCTTTCAAGCTTTTTAATTAAAATTTTACCTTGTTAGGATAAAGAAATTTAATGACAGATAATGAAATATTACTCATGACCCACTGCTGAACTAAAAGCTGCCTAAAGTGGCATAATATTGCTTCTCAGTGTTCAATTTTTTTCATGTGCCTTTGATATTTTGCGATTATTTTTGTTTTTGTAACATGAGAAAACCTATATTGTCAAATGAATTAATTTTGTCATTAACACTTCTTGAGTGGTAAAAATGTCACTCTTATTGCAGCTATAGAAACTGTACGGATATATTTTAAAGGTCAAAACAGATTTTCAGATTTAATGTCATTCGAATGAAGCTACAAGGGATGTTCATTATTTTGTTATAGGTGTACTGATGTTTAAGTTTGACTTGCAAACGTTTGACGTGTTTGAACAAGTATATGTAATGATGTCTCAACTTTCATGGTAATTTTTTATAAGGTCTTCAAATTTGCATGATGCCAGTAACGAAAGAAGTCAATAGTGGATATTATTGATGTAGATATTTTCCTTCATAAATCATCTTAAAAACTTTAGTGTGATATTTTACTGGCACAACTGCTACAAACTATTTGTTTTTAAAGTTACCTTCAGATTAGTTTTCAGAAGAAAATAATTACTTACTAAAACTACACATACATAAAGAGTTGGGGCTGATGGTATTGTGAAGTTTTCTTTGGAATATATTTGCGAGCAAAGACAATGAGGTAAGGATAAGACCTATACATGGTTTGTGAAAAATGTGGATTAAAAAGAATCTCACTAGCATCTTACCATAGAACCAGCACAAATTATTTTAAATTAATTATCTGTTGCTCTACCGAAGTTTCTTTGAAAAAGGAAAAATCTTTTACACTTATCTGATTTCACCTTATAGACAGAAGTTGCAAAATTTTTTTTTTTTTTTTGCCTGTTAATAATATTTATAGTTACATTAACTTTTATGGTGGCAAAAAAAAGGCAATGTCAACTGCATTTGAAGGTGTCTATAATTTGACATCTGCATATGGTATGAAAAAATGTCATCATAATGATTTTCATTTACTTTTAATTCCTTGAGTCTTAAGTAATTTCTTAGGAGTAAAGTGTATTGAATAAAAAGTTAATTTACTACCATGGACTTGTCCCTGGGTATCTGCATATTTTATAACTAGGTTTATTGTTGTCCTTTTTTCAATAGAGTGATTTTACTTGACCTGTGAAACAGAGAATAACTAGTGCACAAGTAAACAAAAGAAGATAATGGAATAAGTGCATAATAGTGCATAACATTCTACTACCTATTTCACTGGTAAAGTAAAATCACTCTATGGGAACACTAAATCATCCCACCACAAATTGTCTTTAGTTATATTAGTAGTTTGTTAATTGATGTTGAGTAAATACTGCAATGCCTTGTGATTTTTTAAATCTTCAGCTCAAGAATACAGTCATTTAGTCTCAGTGGCCCAGAAAGTACTGATAACAATAAAATTATAATAAATTCATGCAGTTATTATATCCTGTGTTTATTTTCTAGTAAAACCAAGACATCCGGTTTACACATGGCAGATGACACCATTGTCATAACTCCAGATCATCTTCATGTTGATCAAGTCACAGAGATTGTAGGTTCACCAAGTGCGGGAGCAATCTCTATGTTTGTAGGTAAGTTAAAAACCATTCACCTTTTATGTGTTTCTTTAATAGCATTTGATTTTAGGCTTCTGATTTAGACCTGGAGTAAAAACTGCTAAGTTCAAGACTAGCCACGTTCAAACCTCACATATGCAACCACCCAAAATGCCTAGATGGTGGTGTTTATTGCCTATTAGAGGGTCCAATATGATGAGTTCCAGTGGGATATATAACTAAGCCAGATTTTGATAGTTACTGGTAGATAGCTGGTGGTTGCTTTCGCAGGTTTTAGCTGTAGGAGCAGGGTGTAAAGAAAGTCAGTTTTAAACCTTGCCCCTCTGCCATTTTTTCCATAGCTAACAGATGCGTCTGGCATATTTCTAAATACACTATTAAAATACCCTTCTGGCATATTTCTATACTAGCCCAAGAGTCATTTTAACTAGTCCCCCCGCCACCCCCCCAAAAACAAAACTTGATGAGCAGGATTGACTAGCTTGAGGTGCATTATAATATGCCCAGACTATCACATCACTGAGTTGAGTTTGACAGTTAGTTAACTTGTTAAGTCTTTTTGTTTAAGGTACAACCAGAGATAATTTTGAAGGTAGGAAATTTTCATTTCATTTCATTTGTTATTGGTTAATGCAAAGTTACAATAAATTAATTTATTTCATTTTCTCAATACCCACAAATAACAAAAGCTAGTCTGGGTGGGCATATCTATATATATAAGCAAAATTATATGAACTCCAGATTATATTAAATTCACAAGAAACAAAAAAATGTACACATGAAAAAAATATGAAAATGAAAAAGAGAAGATAAATTATTCAATTACTGCATAGAATCATTGAATGCTGATATTTTGCTGACATTTGTTTGTAGGAGAAAAGGCAAATATTAATTAACAATGTGGCCCCAGTTATATAAAAGGTGGATAGGGCTTATAACCACTGGACAAATCTCTATCCACTGAATAACATAATTGGATTGCCTAACACTTATCCTCTTGATAGTGATTTACTTGGCGGATAGCGCTATCCAGTACAACATATCCAAACAACCAGGGCCCAATAAATGATTTTTCATTTTTCCCTAGGAAAGACGGTAGTACGTTTGGAATATGAGGCATACATGCCCTACCGATCTAGTCTCTACGCGTTCTAAACATTCGTTCACGCTCTCTTTACCCTACACTAGTTTTATCGGTATAAAGTGTCTTAACCCATACTGTTCTCTGACGAAATCACGTAAGGTAATATATGAATTAACATGATTTTGTACTGGGTAACAATATTGTTGATGAAAACTAAGATTCAGGAATAAAGGCCCATGTAACTGCTGTGATTTGCTCGTAAATCACAAGCAGAATTTAGTTTTTTTTTTAGATCATCAGGCATTACTTGGAGCTTTAAATGCCAAACCCCTTCCAAACAGTTATTGGAAATGACTGTCTTCTTCGGCCAGGACTCATTGCCTTCCTTCTTTATGTTGTGCTAAGAAAGCTCTTTGTTTAATGTTGAGAAGTAACTGTAACATTTTAATTTGCAGAGTGGTGCCAATAGGAGAAGCAAGTGTAATTATTGCTGTATCATCAGCCCACAGGAAAAATTCTCTGGAAGCCGTTCAGTACTGTATAGATACTTTAAAGGCCACAGTGCCTATTTGGAAAAAGGTATTATTTTTTATTTTAAAAGTGCAATAATCAGTTCCTGTGCTGGTCAAAATTCTGGGATGTACCAGTTAGGACACTTGTCCATTTTACATTATGCACTGACTGTTGAAGAGTTAATTCCATAGTTAAATTATTTTTTTAGGAAGTATACGAACAAGGTGAACCCAAGTGGAAGGAAAATTCTGAATGTTATTGGAAAAACAAAGGTGGATCCCTAAAACAGTCAACTGTTTAGTTACACTGACAAAGACTTCAAGGGTGGCTAATTTAAAGCATTTATAATAAAACATAGTGTGTTGTGTGATCACTTTAACAAAGTATCTGGGCCCAGTTGTTCAAACGCTGGTTAGCTCTAACCCAGGGAACCGGGGTTTCTTTATCTTTTTATCAAAAGCACTCTCTCGGATAATTATTTTCTTTTTTCTTTTTAGAGTATCCAATCATCAAATTGCAGGCAAAGAGAATTGAGTTGAAATGAATTTGCTTTTTAAGCCCTCATATCTGAGTTCAAATTTTGCACTAACTATGGGTTATCTTAACCCAGCTTCGAAAAACCCGGCCCAGATGTTTAGTTGATGTCCACCTGTGAGTTATGCAGGCATATTTACATGTATTGTGAAGAATGTTGAAGTTTATACACAATGTTCAAAAAGTTTGATGTTTTGGACAGTGGCTAGAGATTGTTGTCATTTCATAAGGTCAGTCTCAGTCTTAAGATATAAAAATGGGCTGTTGATACCCAGCTTTTAGCCATGCCTGAAGACAAGTTCTGTACTGTATTCTTCACGTTTTGCTACCATTGTTTTTAATACCAAAACAAAAAATAAAAAACACTAATATTATTAGTGTTTTTTTAAAAATATCATTTCCTTGTTATTCCAATAATTCTAATTATTATTTGAAACTTAACGAAAATGTGTGATAATCACTTAGGAAAGAAAACAGTGCATATTACTACGAGAGGAGATAAAGTAAAAGCTTATCTTAGGGTGATTAAGCCAGAGTGAATATTATTATACTCTAACACAATTAGAGAAAAATAAATTTTATAAGAACGGTTATATATATAAAATAATATATTTAAGAGACTGTTTCAGTCTTAAAACCACATTTATTTCAAACCTTTACCGTAAATCCTCTATAGAGAGAAGTGTGACATCACGTTACCATGGTAGTACTATTTCTGAATGACAACAAAACCAATGACGATGGCGACGGCAAGGGGATTGGCAATAAATAATATGTTTATGGCAACAAACAACAACTTTGCACTTGCATCTTACTATTTTGTCATTTCTTTGCCGTCATTGCACCACTACGACATGAAACTTCCTAATTCCACAAGTCCACTTTATGGAGTAGGTGAACACAACACAAAAATCGTCACTTTCATTTTTTTAAACTTAGAAAACGATAGATACAGTCCCAAAGAAAATTTCGTCAAGATTTGCCAAATTAAATGAAATTGAATAAGATCAGTGAAGTTTGAAATAGTGCAAATAGCCTATAAAGTGACTTTTTCAGTTTGTTGTCATCCAAACATGACGTAACAACGTCTCCTCTCTATTTAAAAGGCCCCCGGGGGTCCTACTTATTTCAGGCCCATTTGAGGGGGGGCTTAATAGAGATGGGGGGTTATTTAATTTAGAAAAGACATTGGTACCAGTTCCCCATAAAGAATTTATAGAATACAAAGTGGAAAAGCTCAAGAACAAGAAGGTTGGAGGTCATGCAGATGAGGATCAGAATCAATCCGAACTTCCAGTTGGTAAATAAACCATCCCG